ATATATATATATATATATAAGCACTAATTGACTTCACATTGGGGTTCCTTATGGTATGTGCCATGGATATCCACACAACGATTTTACAGTAATGAGAGCCTGCCTTGCTCTACCGAGCCAAGCCTAGCTGGCTTCGACATTGTTATCCGCGGAGCTTGCAGCTGAAAGGATGCCCCCCAGGTGGTAGTTGAAAGAGACAACCTCGGAATTCCTCCCGCTTGTGTTGATTGGTGCTTGTTGTTGCTGGTTGGGTATCTTCATCACCCATGTCTTCTCATGAGTCAAGCATAATCAATAAATATTACACAGTGTGAAATGTAAAACTTTAGGAACTTTAAAATGTATTGTACAATGAACAAAATGAAAAAAACTCCCTCCCACCACAGAAAGAAACGAAGAAGTGAAAGAAGTTTCGCATTCATCTGGGTAAAATTCTATCACCACTACAGTTAAACAAACAGATGTTTAGGAATATATACATAAAATTTTAGTCACCTGTAGATATAACATCAACTTATGTAGATAATTGTATAAAATAATAATAACTCGGTCTATCATAAGTAGTACTTTAGAAGTTTGTTTCTGGTATGTATCCATATATATATATATATATATATATATGGTGATCTCTCTTTCTGTTGCTCGCTTAGTCTGTGACCATTTCATTTTGATGAACCTGTCTCCTTTAACAATGTATATTCCCCTTATATTATATATAATATAATATGAGTGTTTGTTGACAGTCCGTTGCTTGGTGACATATATCCATATATGGTGGTTGTTGACATGTCTGCTATATTTTGCTATGTATATTTGGATCGACACTCCATTATAATTAGCCATTCATGTTAAGACTGTCTATTGATTTGTTCACACACTTGTCTGGACGGTCATATATATATTTCGTTCTCACAATCTTGTGTCTACTTACTTTGGTGTGATACCACTTTTGCATTCTCCTTGTGTTTGGAAAATAGAAGTATCATCGCAAACCTAGTGGTCTTCTGATTTCCGCCTTCTTGCGTCAGGACTAGTAAATTATCGACCAGTACATAACAATAATTTGGCGACGAGTACATAACAGTTTCTTTCAAAAAGCGCTGCATAAGTCACCTAAGTCATACACCTTCTTTTTCTTCCTTAGTAAAATGAAATTCAGCTATCATTTAATGAATGTAACACTTTGTACTCCCATTGTTTGAACTCGGAACAGATCTTTCATGTACTGTATAAAGGCTGAAACTTACTCTTACTGTATGAGGTGTAATGATCTTACTAAGCTACCTAGGATGAAGTAAGTACGTGACGACAGAATACGGAGGTATTTGGTGGCAGAATCGTTCATTAGGCAGAATGCAAAAACCTTACACTGAAATCTCCCCAATTTCACCAGCCTAAATTTCTCCTTGCATATCTTAGGGTAAAACCAGAAGAAACTTCAAAAGAATTTATGCTCCTACAGCTATTAAATATAGAAATCCAACCATACCATATTTAGCGCGGGTTTTGTGTAAAGAGATAGTTAGATGTGAGAAAAGAACTCATAAACTTTTTAACTGAACTGAAAAGTGCAAGCAAAGATCATTATTACATGTATTACCTATGATATTATCTAAATATACTACACAATTTTTCCATCAATAATCTGTTTATTATGGTTCCATTATTAATATTATTACTACTATTTTAAATTTTATGTATGTACATATTTATAAAAGGAACTAAGTAGTTACAATATGCTTTAAAAACGCTGTGAATTCCATTCTGTATAACTGCTATTGTTTGGAATAAAGTGATTAATAGTATTATTATTATTGTAAGCATGGAAAAGAAGGAAGGTTGGAAGTGAGGCTTGTAACCCCATAACGCCATAGGCAGTGAAGGCTCGGAGATTGAAGTCCATTCGAAATTCAGAGTAATGAGAAAAAAAACAACTCCTTAGCTCTCGCTCTGTCTCACACTTTCTCACTGGATTATCACTTCACCTCGTTTCGTTTTTATTCGGTGATTCATCCGGATAAATAACACTTTAAATTGTCAACATGTATGCAGAAATTTTAACAGAAATAACACTTTTGTGTATTCTGCCAAATACCCACTTTATTTAGGCTTCGACAACAAGACAAATGGTCGTCCTAAATTATGAATAAACAAAGATTGGTTTAAATCATGAGAAATTACTGGTTGCCTCTTTTTCCTCAATACAAAGGGTAAAACCTTATAAATTTGAATGTAACGTGGATAATCTTTTGCTTCTATGAATTGTTGAACGTAAATTAGACGAAGTACGGCTCATTGACTTTGAGTCAATAAGCTTCTAAGTTTGAGTCTAATTTCATCTCCTTCAAGCTGTAAAAAAAATGATGGTGGTGGTGGGGGTAGGGGGTAGATTTCATTAGATGCTATTTTAAGACGTCATATATTCATAAACTCTACTAACAAACAGAGGTTTGACGACTATATATATATATATATATATATATATATATGCCAAAATTATGATTAATGGGCCATTACATTTCAACGCGATGGCTTAATGGTCAACGGAGTGAAGATCTTGGATTCGATTCCTTGAAGTGAGGTCATGGACGAAACAGCTAACCATCACTTTCTGGTGTTCAACGGCTTTAAACCGATGTGTCATATCGTTATCTAACTTCATTTCAATCAAATCATTGCAGGCTAACACTTGAAAAGGACATTTTATGTCATAATACATTTTATAGAAACGAAATTATGATTTATAATGATTTTAAAACAGGTCATCTCAAAAGAAAAGAAGAGTTAAAAGGCAAAGTAAGAGAAAGTAAAGTGTGATTTTTGGGAAATGGGAGAAAACTCAAGGAAGAACAATATGGTTAGTGGAATTATACAACACAAATATAATATAAAGCTTAATTAATTTGGTCAAGAGACTGAAACTAGGAAAATAAAGGGCAAAACTGAATACACTGTCATTTATTTTCAGCCGCTTAAAATTAATTCTCATTTATTCCAGGTTTTATCATGCCTTGCTTGCTAGCAAAAATAAGCAAACAGTGAAGTGTAATTTTCTAAGAAAACTAACTGTATAGATGAATACATTGAATACTTAACGGAAGGATGAGTACATTGAACTGCTAGTTGCAATATACAACTCAGATATACAGAGTAGATTCCCTGTGTAACGTGTCATGAGGTTCCGCAGTTAATGTATGAGGGCTATCGCGATTTTCAGGCTGAAATAGGTAGGAAGAAACTCTTAATTGGTACCCTTTAGGTTCAAAGTTCAGTGTTTAAAGTATTTTCATCTATATGAATGGAATGAAACCTTCTATAATTTTCCTTTGGCTGAAAAAGATAATAAACTTTAACAATATAAGTAGATAATTTGCATGAAAACAGCCCAATGTAATGGATGAGAACTAAGTTTTAGCGAACCTCATCAATTAAACCACTGAATATGCCACGGTTGCACACTGCTATCTGACAATATTTCTCGATAAACAAGTGGACACTAGTATTTTCGTCTTTCACGAATATAATCACTTTCTTTTTCAAGTGTTGGTTTGTAGGGATTTGATTGGTTTCAGGATTTCATCATGAGCTGACATTAGTTAGAGAACTATTGGAAAACCTTCACGTTCCCAGTGGAACATAGGGCCTCAAGCTAGTGGCTTGAAGTTTCTGTACCACTGTTTAATTTTACAGGATGGGGTTGATAGCCTCATGCTCAACCTTTCCGCTTTACCAGCATTACTTCTGGCTTAGCGAGGTAAAGGAGTGAGTTGGCCGGGAATCGAACTCCGGACCATGTGTATGGTCGGCGAGCGTCCTAATCTCTGTGCCACCGAGGCATCACATACCAACATAATATCTGGAACTTAATCTATCGTCATCTCTGTGTCGAAAATAGGAGAAGAAATGATTGCACAGGACCATTGGTTTTTCTTTCTAAAAGTGTGATTATAACAATTTCAGAAACTAAATTGTCAGTCAGATCAACATACACATCTCTCCATGGAATGAAGGATTCACTCTACGCCACATCAAGCACTAGACGCATGAAATTAGTCACTGGAAAAAAAACTAATTTCATGCGTCGATTACGGTTGCTACAGGTAATTCGCGAACCCGAATAGCACAGTGGTGATGTGTCCGAATGCAACAATCGGTGACGCAAGTTCCAATCTCAGAAGGCACATTATTTTCTATAAGTTCGAAGATAAATCTTGCTGACTAGTGCCAACATGCACAAAACATAGGTCCAGGTCTTCCTGCTGATTGCTCTCAACTATCTAACAAATATGTACTGTTGATTATGGAATGTACCACTTTCTTATATTATTTGTAATACTAATTTTTTACATTCAATGATAAGTCTTTTTAATTTTGGTAATATATCCCACGTAAAATTACTCTACAAGATCACACCAAATATTGAAATTTATTCATCTAGAACTATAACGTCGTTTGATATATATTATCAAAATTAGAAATAGATATGATGGAGGAGCGAATTAGTAATTCTGAGGCTACTTGCTAGAATCTTGTCTCAAAACAGATTCTGTATTTCACCCTCAATCATAATCAGTTGTATCAATAATAAGGACCTGTAAACTCAAGGTTAACTCAGGCAGTCTCAACATAATAATCTATTTATTTACTGGCAGTTAGAAGTTGAAACCATGACTTGAGTTTCTCCTTAGTTGGGACTCACCTTCTGGATGCACTTTGATCTCCAGTACGTCGTAGTGTTCCCACTGAGACTCAGATTTCCCAGTAGCATAGTGCACAACACTTTGACGTTTGAAGCGACAAGTACTGGCTTTGGGGTTCAATGGGAACACTATCAATCACTGGAAAGAAAGTGCATCCAGATGAAAAGTTCCAAATAGGACGAAATGTGCATCCTGATTCACTATAGAACAAAATAAAACTGTATCTGATAAATTATTCATCAGAGGAACACGATACAGCATATGCAAAATGAACATTTCATTCTTGCAATTCAAACTCACCTACGACGTAGATCATCGATACACTGACTTGTAAAGAAATGCTTGAGAACAGATAACATTTGACTTTGGTTACACAACAACGTTTCGATACATAATTTTGGTTTCTATAAAATTTGTAGGTAATAATTATAAAAATTAATTGGATGAATAATAATGAATAAACGTAATCGTTTACAAATGTTTAACTTATGTATACAAACGAACAAAAACCGAACTTTAATTTCACTACTGAATTCATACTACTTATACCATATATCAATTCCACTAATCTGAACAGTATAATTACAACTACAGGTGATACGGATGAAGATTTCAGTGCCAGTCTGGTTCATATTAGCCAAGAAAGTCAGGCCTTTATTACTCTTAAATCGATGTGGTAATTCAGAGCACGAGATTCACCAAAAGCATTTCTATAATAAAGTTTCTACATTATTGTTATTATTAACAGGTTGCTGTAGGTATTCGTTAACACTGATGCAGAAGATTAAATGGCCGGCTAGAGAGCACCATCTGCAAGGAACTATGGTAGGCGAAAAATCAGTTAAAAACCTACTACTCAACAAATGTGCGGAAAGGAATGTATGTGTACCTGAAGAAGGCTGAGGAGACCGTTGAGTAAAACCGCATGCCAATTAAGCTCTCGAATGCAACCCCAATAAGAAGGAACACACTGAACCTCTGACTGTGATATGAAGATTATGTGAAGAGGAAATGAAAGCCTGCTGGTAATCATGAAGTCAGCTAAAAGTGATAGCAGAGAACCGAGTGCGATGGATATGTCTCCCTCGGAACACAAGGGATCAATAATACATTAACAATTGATTCTTTTCAATCGTTTGCCTTCCGAGTGAAACACAGGGCTTCAAGATGTGAGCTGTGAAGTTTCAGTAGCAGCAGTTTTTTCCTACAGAATGGGTTACTAGCCTCAAGTTCGACCTTCAGTCATTACAGGGTTTACTACCACTAGGCGAGGTTTATGACTGATTCAGCCAGGAATCGAACCTGGACCACGCGAGTGGCTGGTGAGTATTATAACACCGACTCAAAAACAGTAATAATAATAATAATAATAATAATGGTAATAATAATATCAAGTATAGATCACAATATGCCATTTAAAATTCAACTCCAACAGGATACATTATCCGATAGTAGTAATATGCGCATAATCACTGCTCTCTAACAGAAAGAAACATAGGTCGGACTACTCTCTCAATCAGAATGAACAAGCATTATAAAGTACAAACAAGCAACAACAAAACCATATTTTGCTCTATTTTATATATTTAACCGACAAGATGAACAAATATCTCTACAGTACAATCTCTAAACAATATCAGTAAATTACATGTGCCCATTCCCTCCCTGTAACTTCACTTCTGAATTGTCATTGGGGGAAATTATGATTATGATTTTAAAATTCTTAAAAACTTACGACCACAAGAAAATAGAAAATGAATAACAGTTTTTTGGAAAAAATATTCAATGCAAAAGTTAGATTTATTAAAATAAGAGCAAAACCTCATTATTCTCTTGCCCAATATTATGTTTCTCCTACTTACCGTGTGTTTTTTCCTGCATATTATCTCAGTTAGAGTGATAATAATTAGTAATAATCCCATTATCTAAAAGTATACTCATATGCATTCCTGCCCATTAATTACCTCATCATCACTGTACAAATAGGTACATGTATCAAAAAGTTGAAACTGAAGCCTTAAAATCACACTTTCCCGTCTTATCCATCATTTTTCTTCCATAAAGAAAAAACATAACACGATTACGTCGTAAACAATCCACACTAAATTCTGCTTCTTTTTTTAAAGCAAACCACATCTCATGTGTCATGGGATTTCTGATTGGAAGGGGAATTCGAGATCTCTCTCTCTCTATTAGAAGTAAAGAAATATGTTGCGGTGGTGGGTGTTTTCGTCACTCAGATGACATAAGCCTTGACTTTAGCTGGGACAAAATATTAAACCACTGCTCCCATTTATGCATAGCTAAGTATGTGTGCATGCATATATATATATATATATATATATATGAATTAAGGAAGTAAAATACGGCCAGACAAATTGTGCTGGAAGAAAAGTACAGGGTTTCTGTCTGTGTAACAGACCACCATCTTTCACATATGAATTAACACATATAGATTGTAGTCAGTAATGTGTAAATCATCATCAATACACCGAGAGATTAATCCATATATATATAATATATATATATATATTAACAGAGCTCAAGCCTTTTAAAGAATGAAATGATAAATTCGGTATATTAGAGTATAGGTTTGAAATTTGGGGCTAGAAAATTAATAATAAATCTACTCAGTTTTACAACTAAATATGTGCTGTAATACAACAGAATAATTTATAGATATGATTTTATTTTGATAAATCACACAGTGTTATACAGTATTATTAAGTGATGACGTTTCGAGCACAAACCATTTCTCATAATCATATCATAATGGAGTTTTACTCTACCACAATGTCCAAGTTTTATACTTATAGCAATAACAGGATGGTTTGTCTTTATTTCTCACTAACAAAGTCAGTAATGTATAATGTATAAATTATCGTTTTGGTATGTGGTTGTGTTGTCCTAACTGTGTGGTTTTGCATGAAAAGCCTTCAGTGTCCCTTTCTATAGACAGAGGTTTTCAGCTCTTACAATGAAGTGGGATTTTCAGAATTTTCTCTGAATAATATATATATATATATATCTTTTGATGACCTCTGCTTTTTTTGGTTGCCCTCAGAAGAATTACACAATAAAATATCCCTTCTAAGATGTCTTGTTAAAGCGAACAAAACACAGGATATTTGGGGAAACAAGTACGCATAAAATTCACCTACACGGAAAAGATACTCAAATACAACAGCAATAATCCGAAAAACACACGTAGGAAACTATGCACAAATATTATTTTAAAGGGTTAAAATACACTGTAGTACTCCAGTCGTAAAGAGAAGAGAATCGAAGTATTTATTAGCTACCTTCAAGGAAAACAGACAATTAATTTCACCGGAAAATGACTAAACTCAAATGAAGACTTCCAGTAAAAGACATTTCTCAAAACCACAAGAAAATTCATCCTGCCATATATAGAGAATATTTCTGAAATAACGGCTAGAAGGCTGGAACCATTCGAAGTAGATCTTCCATAAAAACCAGCACAACCACTTCAGTTCACATTATGCTGACCGAAAGACACAATAATAAAAGAAGAAAAGATCGACACGATCTACAAAGGGAATTCCATCAACTGTGAAAAGCACTGTATTGCTCAATATTGACGTTCTTTTCGACTTCGAATCCAAGAGCATAAACTACCTATCAACAGACACGACATGCATTCCCACGTATCAATGAATGGAGACAACTACGGATACAAGTTTGACTGGAAAAATGTAAGAATCTTAAACAGGAGAACTACTAAACAAGTGAGAAGATTCCTAGGGTTCTGGTGCTCAGATCATTCTTCACTAAGTAAACACACTGATTAAATTTAGTAACCAGTGAAGAACGAATCACACGGAAAAAGAGATTAGAAAGGCTAAATTCTAGGTCAGTGAAACGACCTATACCAATACATTTTAACACGTGAATAAAAGAATCTCTGACGTCGCAGAAACATAGCCAATGCCACCAGGAGAGATAGATATATCATCCCTAGAGAATTCTGAAAAACCAATTTCACGATGTGGTAAACGCTGAACCTGATATCTGTAGAAGGACGATTAAAAAGCTCTTCAGTTAAACCTCAACCGAACATCAAACACATCCACCCCAGATAAAAAAGGTTTCTCCAATATTTATAAATCGTGTTTATTTATACAACACGACAGTCTACAGGATAGTGTCTATTGTGAATGATTACCTTTTGAAAAGCAAACATACCTTAGAGAAAATCGTTGCAGCTAAATTTAAAGCTGATAGTATTCCCCTTGGGGATAGCATAACTAGGTCAACTGCATGCTCGCTGTCTACTGATGAACCAGCCGATTTATGAAGATCAAATATTTGCTCTAAACACTGCCATATCCTTTCAGGTATTCGAAACTCCATAAGTGATTGATAAATGATATTACCAGCCTATTACAGACAAGAAAAAGAAAAATGTGCGTGTTATAATATTAACTGTAGATGACTGCAAAGTTAACAGCGAAGATTACAAATCACTTTAGTTAAACCGTTTTTTTTCAACATATTCGTAAAGAAAACTTTATCTTAATGGTTTGGTCATAGAACTATTCAGGAATAAGTTATGACTTTCAAGGATTTAATTGATCTCAAATTAGATTTTATCATGAATTGACAGCAGTAAGAAAGCTAATGGGAACCAAGGAGCTCAGGATAGTTGTTTCGTCCTTTTCCGGGACTCTTCATAGGACGCACCCATAACTTCATCAAGAATCATACCTTGAACCTTCAAGTTATGAAGCAAGCATATCACCACACCAACCACCTGGCTGAAATCTAATGACCCGTAGATTACGGTATGTAGTGCCCCTACCATCCATTAACGTTGGCGAAGATCTGTCCTCATATCCATTTCGGTGGGTGCTATCAATCACCAGATCTCACTAGAACTCCAGGAAATCCACCGATAAACAGTGGATTCATTTTAAAGTGCTAGTTTACAACGACTCAGGGTCAATGATTTTGGATTTGTAGAATTGTATAAAAAAAGTGGGGGTGAAATTTTATAATTTCACTAGAAACCCTTCCGCCCCATTTCGCTTTTTTCTCAAAGCGGTATTTATTTACAATAGTTCAGGCATCATATGACCATGGGTATCAAATCAACCCAGGAAAACACAAAATTCATAGACATAAGGGGACAAGAAGAATACTGGTGAGTTCTTTGTTTCTTAGTCCTCAGGTCAATTTGCAATTAACAGACATGTGGATATGGATCAAATTAATTAACTCATAATGAATAAGTCGCACAATCGACAGCTTAAACATCGGGGCAACAAAACAATTCTTTTCCGAGGACAACCAATCGCAGCGTCCAGTTCACCAGAAAAACTAACAGATATTTTATCCATGAAAAATTTCAATTGATATGACGGCTTCAACATGTCGGCTGCAATAGATCTTCATCACATAGTAAGATTCGAGGTTGAATGACAAACCCATGATGATGACTAGAAGCGGTATAAAAAAGACCTTAAAAAAACAACACTTCATTTAAGTAACATTGAAGAAAATCCAGTAAGAATATGAACTTCCTGTACACGAACTCTAAATTACTGATTCAAAAATATTCAACTAATGATGTTCACAGGTTCACCTAATGTTCATCAAAATTATGATATTTACACAACGTAAGAGAGAGAAAGAAGAAGAGAAATGTTACACAACTACTTTCAAAGGTATAGTATTAGGATACTTTAATTAACCAACCTGTGTACACATAATTTGAGCTAAGTCAAACAAACCATCAAGCCAGCCATGATTCGATGGCCATAATAATTGTGGTAAACCAAAGGTCATAAGAAGATCCATTTCAGCCTGAGATTCGCCGACATTCTCTTTTGAATTAGACCTACCAACATTACGTGGTGTTGATTCACTTAAAGCAGCCAATAGTCGATTACGTGCTGTTTGACTCTGAGCGATAGGTGATACAAGAATCAGCGACATTGCTTGTACAATATCATGAGGTTTAGCCGGTATTTTAAACTCTTGTAATTCATAAATTTGAGATAGCAGCAAAGCTGATGCAGCCTAATTTCAACGGAAAGGAAAAAACAAGAGGAAAGTCATCTTGAAGCATTAGTGTTTTATAACTGATGGCAATTTATTTCAATGACTGGACTGGTTTCAACATGGAATTTTTCACCGATGTGCAGCAGTCCAATTCGCCGCATTCCATGTAACACACATGGCAAGGGAAGAAAGTAAAAAAGGAATGCAAAATATAAACAGTAAACAGAGATATGAGACAAAAAGAATAGTAATGTCGAAAAACAATATAGTTTTACTAGCTATTATAAGTCATAAGGGGTGGTTGCATCTGCCCCATTGAGAACGACGATCTTAAGAAATATCACCAATTGTTTTCAGCCATTGGTTTTTACCGTCCTGAAGAACCCAACCAGGAAGTCTACACCTTCCTACGTAGCTTAAATCAACTGTTGTGGGTTTCATTGACTGGTGCCATGTTTTGGTTTGACCGCCACTAGCTCTTTTGCAGCCTGACCCTATGTCAGCTAGCATTTCCCGCCGAGGAAGGCGATGGCTAGGCATACGTAACACAAGTCTCAACCATCTCAATTGGTGCAACTTCACATCCACATCGGTTGATTTCCCTTCCCCTCATCACTTCCCTGGAAAGCAATTTTCAGCGAGGGGGCTACAAGAACTCTAACCTGGGGATCCAAAAAGAATTATGTCTTTAAGCTAGTAGCGAGTCAATGCAGTCCAGTCCTGCAGCATCATCTTACATTTGGCGGGAGCGAATCACATGCCAAATATTCAAAGATTGCTGCTCCTCAAGGTGTTTAAAAGACTCTCCTTTATTTTGTCAGCGTCTTCACCTAGTCAGACAGACTACGTCATCCACATATCCTAAGTCAACGAAATTATTCCCTGATGGTAACAAGTCAATTCCTGAGTCACTGAAATCTGTTAATGTTAATTACAATAGTACTTCTATGATGAAAGTAAATAGAAATGGGGATAGTGGGCACCCCTGACGGACAACACTAGTTGTCACCACTTCAGATGACAACTCGCCGTGAGCTCTCACCTGGCTGCATGAGTTCGAGTAGCGTGTCTTGATCAGTGCAATGTATTTTCTCGGCATTCCCTTCACAGCCAAACATCGCCATAGTACCTCTCGGTCGACAGAATCGAATGCCGCCTGATGGGACTTCCTCTGATTCCCAGACACCTCCTAGTACCTCAGCTAAAGCAGACAGTAAACTGTCCCAACCGTACTTAAATACCTCAGGAGTCACCCATCAGGTCCCGTAGCTTTGCCTTGTTTCAGACTAGTTACAGCCTTAGTAACCTCAATTAGGGACAGTGGACCTGTGTCTATATCCCATTCAGGGAGGTGTAGGATGTTTGGTAGGCTGAGCGTGGCTGTAGGGCAACTAAACTGCTCCTCGATGTGTTTTTTTCAACGTCCAAATCACCTATCCTGGGAGCTAATTATGGTGCCATTTTCCACACAGATTGCTTCACTTATCGTTCGACTTTGACCACCCGTTTACCTGATAAGTCTAAATAGTTATCTGGTGTTACCAATCGCCGATGCCTTTTTCATTTCCATAGCTTTTGTCGCCGACCACTGTTCACGGTCACGTTTCGAAGGCTTCTTGTTTATTTGCGTTTGAACAGCCTTCGCTCCTCATCACAATCAGAGCTCGTCGGAATCAGTCTTCCTGCGTCAATCAACTCGAATGTGATGGCGGAGATCCAATGGCTCTTACTAACTTTTGGTTTAAGGTAATTAACAGCTTTTACAGCTGTGTCTGCAGCTAACTGAATGTTGTGCCAGGCTACCTCAGGAAGAGTCCTGCTGTCGACGTCTGACACTCGTTTCGCTATTTCCTCCTTAAATAGGGACTCAGTGTCCCGATCTAGTTGAGGATGTGACTGCTTCGCTGCCAGCAATCTTTTATCTTCGTTTAGTCGTAAGCATAAATTTGCGCAGGGCGTGATCGGAGACTACTCACATGTTCCAAAAGGAGCGGCAGTCTTCTATTGACCTTCACCAACGATACCATATCGCTTTGTAGTCTATCTGAGTCCAGGGTTGATTTGGTGATGGAGGTCGCCAGGTTACGCAGTGTCTCTCTTTGTGCTTAGAGTTAGTGCTGACTAGGAACAGATGATTTTCTGAGCAACTGTAGAAGACGATTACCGTTGTCGGTTCGTCGGCAGGGAACTCCATACGTCCCACATACATACTTCTCAGTATGGCACAACTTCCCTACTTGGGCACTGAAGTCGCCTGCTAAAACAACCTTATCTAAATGTTTTGCTTTTTGCAGCAAATTAAACAGTTTTATGTAGAAATCATCCTTTTGTTCATCCGAACTGCGGTCTGTTGAGGCGTTAGTGGTGACTACGAAAAGACAACAATGGGAAACGTCATCCTTCCTTCATTTAACTGACCCGTTCAGACGCACCGCACACATGTGACTATCTCCTGGGATCCAGCCGTGAAGTGATTTTTCTGCCTGAACACTCAATGCTATCTCTACACCTGCGAGTATTCAAGAACCAGCTGAGAGGTCTCCTGACACCCTTAAAGTGAATCCTGCAGATTCACCTTGTTGACTGGATGAGGTTAAGTGAATGACTACACTAGGGTCTTGTATGCGTGTTTCCGAAACACAACATACACCCAAGGCTCGAGATGCCAGAGTTCTTCCTACTGATGCCTGTTGTCCGATTTGACCGAGGGTCCTGACATTGAATGCTCCTATATGAGGTTGGCGACGTGGCTCAAAGAGGCTGTCAGGTGTATTTCTTTGGCTCTGATCGTTGTTTGTGGTCACAGTGTGAAGTGAAGATGACTCACTAGCCTGCAGAATAGTAGTGACTGCAGTAGAGAAGCAAGATGAGGAACGTGATGTTGATAAAGGAGAATGATGCTCGGGAAGGCTTGTGTCCTCTTGGAAATGTGTGGGCGGTTGTTACTTCCCGGCTGCCTACACCGTGGAAGTTGGTTGATTCTTCGAGTACCTGAAACAGAAAGAGGATTAGGGTTGCGTGATCGCAGAGCCCAGGGAACAACTGCTTGAGGCCAGTCACACACGGTCTGTAATAACTGGTTTCTGGGATTGGTTCCCTATTAGTAAACTTACCACCGGTTACGAATCACCGTAGGGTAGGTCGGGATGCACGAATGTTGGGCTCAACTTTTCCTAACCCCTTCTATCCAGAGTGCAGAGACAGCATAGTTGGCATGCTGATCATCTGAGGGAAACACCTTACTGCTGTTACATCCCTGTTCCCCTGCAGTACGACTTCGCCCACAGACTCCTGGCATAGTGTAAAAATTTCTTAAACTATGCCGGTAACTGCTTCTAATCTAATCACTATCCTAACAACCTTCCTGGCATGGTAGAACCTGCAGGAACAATAGTTTCAGCCAGTGTAGCTTGTTGAGTCATTGCGATATGCAAGCCCGACCACCACGTCAAGTTAGCAGCTATCGGTCAGGAGTTCATTTCAATATAGCTAAAACTCCAACTTAAACATTTAGAAAACATAAAAACAGATTGAGTGACATGCTCATAATGATAGATATGCATAGTGGAGGCGTGGTTAAGCAAGGAACAGACTAGATCTATTGGCAACTCCATTTTGCCTCATCATGTAGACATTTAAAATGAAGTCATCTGTCGTAATCTGACTAATCATAATTTCGTTTTATAAATCTGTCTTCTACATAGAGCTGAAGACATAGGGATCCATCTGAAGGAGCATAACTTATGTGTTCAGAAAACGTAAGTTTCGAAGCTTTTCTTACCTTAGCCGTCATAACTTGACTGTAATGATCTGACAATTTCCCTTCGCCTCTAAGTCTTTAGCAAGCTGTGATTGTTTTAATTGTCACTGATTGTTGCATTAATTTGCTTCTTAACTTTATCTGATATTTAACTAAGTATTACATTTTGTGCTTATTATTGTTTACACGTGCTTTGAACTGTAATTCTAATCAACCTTAACAACTCGATATTATTCAAACAAAAGCATCAGTGTTGTCAACATCAGTTATTCTTTAAATATTACGTGTACCTATAAATGTGGAACCAGATGAAGAAGTTATTGAAGAGCATATCCTTTAATCCCTCTTCGTTCTTGGCAATTTATTCGTTGATAGATCTTAATGGACCGAAATGCTTAGTCTTTGTTCACATGTTGGCTCCTGCTACGAACATTTTGACGGTGCTTTAAGATAAATGACATCATTTGGTTGATGGTGGTTAATCTTTGGATCCAGGACGTGCGTTCTATCCTTCTTGAGACTTGTCAGCTGGATATACTCGCATCTTCAGTAAGCGACGGTGTTTCAACTGAGACGCAAATGTAGCACACTTATAGTATTTAAAAAGGCATTTTAATTTACGTGTTCATAGTTACTTGTTGAATTCAAGTTTACGTGATTATCTTGCTAGATTTCAAACTCCATACAAAAATGTTTTACCGGTTAAATTGTTCTTCAGTAACTCTACAAGACAAACAGACTTAAATTTGCTTTAAGTTCGATCACAGATTGATGTCATTTGGACGACCATCGACTACGCACATGACATTTAATACTCCCCAGTGGCCAACCAATTAATTCTACACAGCAGGCGCCTGAACTACATACATGCATTTCAGAGGAAGTGTCCAGTGAGCATTAAAGGAACTCGTCCTGTCAACAACAACTTCATTTCAGTGTATACGTGCATCAAAGTCAGCACTGTTTGCGATATAAAGATTCACAATTGTTTTAATATAAACATGAGTCTGAAAACAAAACTTACCGCATGACTTGGGACGTGTGATTCAACAAGCATTTTGCAAAATTGTGCCTTGTTTTGTAATATCCTACAAATTGAACATATGAACCAGTAGTAGAAGGAAACAAGTAAGTAGATAAGAAATTTTCAGAAATACTGTAAATTTCATACATTTATTCCCCTTAATGAATTTGAACAATGCAAGAACTACAGTTTTAGCAGAATAAAATGGTACCATCTTTTATTTCGTTGCCTTCTCGTCAGCTGCTTACATGGCAAAGACATTATTAAATATACCTACAACAACAATTTTAACATACTTGCACAGAGTTCAGTTTAAACAAAAATCAATCGATCAATATACTCATACACCAAAAATATATACATATATAAATATGCAATATTAACCACTATTCCGAACAATAATAATCAAACACAATGGAAACTTTTAGCATTTCACATTCGGAGGAAAGAGAGGTGAAATTATCCAGTTACCAGGGCAAAGAAAGGCTGATAACCGCTTCTTTCTGGACGCATAAATCAGGTTTCAGGCGCTTGATGGAAATGGCTTCAGCAAACTTAAGGAGAATTGAGCTATTTTGCTTAATGATAATTTTGAACGACTTTTCGACGTCCACCTCATGACCCGTGTCGAGAAGATGCCTGGTGATGGCACTGTTTAAAGCATTTGTTCCCTTTAGACGTAAGCTTTTTGGTACATGTTCAGGAAATCGTAGATATGCCCTTCTTTCTGTCCTTCCATGCATTTATGCTTACTTTCTTGATTACCATTTATAGTTTCAGGCAGATCACATGTTGTGACATGAATAATCTCGGTTTCCAAAATAAACTGTGTTGAAATTCCGCCTCAAACTGTAAGTCGGAAATCGTGGATTCATTTTTAAATCAAGAAATTGCACACTTTTGCAACAATTGTAACTAGTCAATATGAAAGAAACCACTAGTAGTGAAATGAAGAAATATTATCAGACAAAGATGCTTCCTACTTCAATGTAGGTCTTCTTCAACAGACAAACTCTGTAACATACGCACCATAGAAGAAGACACTTAAGTCTTCACAATCAACGTGCTGCTATCTAGTTGTGAATAAATATTCATTGGACAGTTAGCTACAATAAAGAATTCAAGTACGGAAAAAATTTATGAAAATTCCATTAATACTCTACGAGAATGTTAAGCTAGGTATTATTCGGTTGATAGCGTCCAACAGTGGGATCTAGGATGCACGTTCCCTCATAACGACAGAGACTGAAGATTTCGGTGAGAAATAACAGACAACCAGCGAAAATCCAAAATAATTATTTCAATATAGCTGGATATAGTAATAGCATCATAAAAGTAGTTTAAGTTGGGTATTTTACATCCACGCTACTTAAGACCAGACGAAAAACATGTCTGCATCTCACAAAGTTTGCATGGATTATTACAACCCAATGGTTTGTTTACACCAAGACGATAGGGTTTGCTGAAATTGCATAAAAATGCTTTTTCACTTAGATATATTTAACCCCACGTATCATCTGATAGCCGAATGGATTGTCAGACTATTACATCGTCTAAATACTGAATTGGTAAACAATAGAGTAGAAAGATACCTTCAAATTTTTTGAAAGGATAGAAGAATAAAATAGGGTAAATGAATTCGTGATAACGTTTGATGTATCTTTTCTATTCACTAACATAATACTGATGTGGACAGTGAATTTTGTATGTGAAACTTCAATGTTAGCATTCGTATATCTTCTGTTAATGGACTTATTTTGAGATACAAAATGAATGTTCATTTTCCGTTTAACTGGAAATTTTGCACACAAGTTGACGATTTGGCTATGGGGTCACCAATAGGAACAAGTCTAGCCACCATTTTCCTCCCAAAATGACAGAATGCATCTTTGTAACTGGTGAACTAGGATTATATTGTCATTAAGATGGATGAGACGTTTTTTATTATGAAAAATAAGAATAAAGTGAAGAAAATCCTTGAAAAACTTAGTGATGTGTATCTTGTAATAAATTTTACCCTCGAGAAAGACAGAAATGACAGTATTTCATTTCGCAGACGTCCTTATGACGGTACAACGAAAAGGACCACACATAGGAAACCTTTACTCACTGGTCAGTATTCCCATTTTTAGAGTTTCATCTATTTGAAATTTAAACGCAATTTGATGAAGTGTTTGTTTCACAGAACTACAATAATCTCCTCAAATGACTATCATAATGAAGAACTCAAGACTGTTAGAAAATTACTAAGTAAAAATAAATATTCAAATGAGTTTACTGATCAGACACACTTTCAAGCAACCTTGTCCATATAAAAGACCGAATCCCGAAAGATTCTCTATCTATCTATAAAATGAAATGATTGGAATGTCATGCGATCTACATCGGAAAAACATCTCAAGAAATCAAAATCAGAAGAAATGAACACCGTAGAGCATTTGTTCGACCACCGAGAAATCCAGTTGAACTAGAAAAACTTGAAAAATCATCAGCCATAGGTCTACACGCTATATAATAAGGCCACAAAATTGATTTTGACAATATGGAAATAATCCAGAAAAACTTCAGAAATCACAAAGAACGTCTAATATCAGAAGCACTTCACATCAAGTGGAATCCAAATTGCCTGAATAGGAATGATTGACTAAAACAGAATCTGACCTGGTTACAACACTTCCCTCCCCCCATGAAGTGACAAAATCAACACAAATGTGATTGTTCGCTCTAAATATTTTGTTCTGAACAAGTGTGATAAGTTCACTATGTAAACACGCACTACTTTTATAACTTTACACACCGATCAAATCCAACAATCTACACTTGATTTTGCTATCTTTACAAATTGAGCTACTTAACAACCAAAAATGACCCCAGACTAACGAACGATGATCAAGTTAGTAAACTTCATTTTGATATCATAACAGATGTACTATTAACTTTGATATTTGGTTTAGTGATCTCCATTGTTATTTTGACTTTCAATATGTCCTTTTAACCAGACCTAAGTCTATTTTATCACCCCTAACTCTTTGTTATATATGCAGAGATTTTGTAAATTCCGGTTTAATAATACTTTGATAAAGCTATTAGCATTAAATAGCGAAACTTCAGTAAAAACAATATCATTGTGTTCTTCATTCATACAAAGACCTTTATTATAATGAATATCATATACCCAATGCCCAAATTTTTTCAAACCGTTAAAAGTGAACTTGGTTTGGACATATATAATTACTGATAAAAATATAAATTTAAAGCCACGGCAAGCTAATGTGTCAACAGCTACGAAGAAGACTTTGTTATTGAAACTGTAGTTCTTACTGTTGTAACCAAGTGATGACTGACGGCTCGGAAATTATAATTTATCGGTTGTATTGATCTGATCATATCTACTTCCCTCCAAGCCTTTTACAAACTATCATCGTTTTAACTCCCCTTAATAGTTGTATTAATTTGCTCCTTAATATCATCTGATTTTCATTCAAGCATTATGTTTCTATGTATATTTTCACTAATGTTATTCTATTGATCTTAACAAACCGATACTATTTGAACAAAAACATCACTGTTGTCAACACCAATTACTATTTAAATATTATATATATATATATATATATATATATATATATATATGAGTCGTGAATTGGCAGAAGTCAGAATTCAAGGACCATTGGATCGGGTCCCAGTGGCCTAATGGTATACGAGCTCGCCTTGTAACCGGAAGGTCCTGGGTTCGAATCCCGGCGGGTGCATACTGCTGAAGAGTCCCAAACTAGGACGAAACAGCTGTCCAGTACTCCCAGGTTTTCCAATGGTGCTCTAACTAATGTCAGCTCATGATGAAATCCTGAAACCAATCAAATCCCTGCAAACCAACACTTGAATATATATGAGTAGGCTATCGTGAAGACTATTCTGTTCTCAATCTTTTTTTAACAGCGAGCGTTGGTGCACGCAGCTAAACATATACAAAATGCTAGAAATATGTTTTCTTTGATATTTATCCAGATGACATAGGTATAAAGTATCCAGTATGACATTGGATGTGCATGAAATAAGAATCAGAGATAAGCAATAGGAGGAATAAGAAGTCGTCATTAAATATTAGCTAAATTTTTAACCAATATACGCTTTCAAGCAATTTGATCGATATGTCACTTTTCCAATAGACGGATGATGTCAGAATTGTTAAGTTCAAATGGCGGGTGAAACAATTTAAGAAATTTAAATTTCGGACTTTTATTTAGTGATATTATCAACAAGAATCGGATTCGCAAGTTGCAAATCATATACTTCAGAGTGACAATTATTCAGATAAGATTACATGACCTTCTTGTGTCACTATGGAAATGTGTGGGCAGTTATTACTTGCCGATTGCCTGAGCCATAGAAGTTGGTTACAGGATTTCAACATGAGCTAACATCGGTTAGAGAACCATTTGAAAACCTGGAATATTGGACAACAACCGTTTGGTGAGAAACGTGTGTCTGTAACTTCTTTTTCCAATGGTTCTCTAATCAGTATCAGCTCATGATGAAATCCTGAAACCAAACTATAGAATATTAATCTGATGATCGCTAGTAACTTGCTACAGGATGGAGTTTCCTGGAGTTCTAGTGAGAAGCCGTGACCAGTGAGATCCATTCAGATGTCGCGTGTGAGGATGGATGTCCCGCATACGACAATGGTTGGGGTCGCGCTAAGTCATGAATTGATAGAAGTTAGAAGTCATGAGTCATTGAATCGGGTCCCAGTGGCTGAATGGTATGCGAGCTTGCCTTGTAACCGGAAGGTCCTGGGTTCAAACCCCAGTGGGTGCGTACTGCTGATGATTCCCAAACTAGGATGAAACAACAGCTGTCCAGTACTCCCTGGTTTTCAATGGTTCTCTAACTGATATCAATCCGTCATTAACTGATAAAAACAAAACTAACCCTTAAAAAGCAAACTATAGAAAATCAATCAGATCCCTACAAAAAAATACTTGAATATCAATAAGATGCTTACTAGCGACTGGCCCTATTCAAGTAGTTAGTTACCTGGGCTTCTAGTGGGACGTAGTGGGTGCAGGAAGTCGGGTGTGAGGACGAAAATTTCATATTACAGTTACCTCTGCAGATGCTGTCCAGAAGAACAACGCAATTGAACAGTTCAGCTCAGAGAACAGAACAACATCGAATACATGATTAATTCATAGAACCACATGATACTATTAGGATTCTTTACATTGCCTCCGATATTAAGGATAATCCATGGAATAGCAATCATTCTCATCAATATGATGGTAAAAGCTATTGTATATACCAAATGACATTACGGCAAATAAATTTAAGAATTCATCAAAACCTGCATCTTTTTTATGTACCTTACAAGTATGTACCATTAACTGTTTCAAGCTTTCTATTCATCTCCCTAAGTCAATATTTTGTATTTCCTAATGACTGACTTTTATTAGTCTGAAATACTTAATCTCTCTTAACATTTCGACTACCAGTGGTCAATTAGATAGTGATTCACCGATTGAAACGATGGGTGCACTGGATTCCAGTCTTAATGGGAACCGCATCGTTTAGCGGGGATGCGGGTAAATCGAGATGATAAGTCTAAAATCGGATGAAACTCTCACCCTGTATCTTATTGCTAGACTAGATCAACCACATAGCACAACAGATTTGTTGGAAAATAAATTTATGATAACATATGGATTAATTATTATTATTCCCGTCAATTTGACTTTATATATCCCTGTAATCACAGGATATGTTGAAGTGTAGTGTGACTAAGCATGTAAGTTTTCTATGTCCCTATTATTCATCTCCGTTAGTAAATGTTACACAATAACCGCATATCTCTCAAATAACAAATATGAAAAATATATATCGTGTAACTATGGTTACTAGGTATTTTAGTGAATAAGAGATGTGCAAAGACAAAAACGTCTAATTCAACGACAGAATGCAAAATTACATCAATAAAAACCAGAAAACTGATACTTGACAAGGAACCAAACTGGAGTTTTTTCAGTCAAGTAAAAAATGTTTGGCATTGACATGGGGAAAAAGAATACATTAATATAGGATATCTGACTTCAGTTTAGAAAACAGCAACAACTCTTGTAAGCAATCAAGTCAGTCTGTACACTGTTCACATCAATTATTAGCATATCACGTCTCGTCTTGACAACCTATTGTGTAACTTACGTTATGCCACATTATTGACTCATGAGTATCAGTAGTGAAAAAAACCCACTCAAGTTATCCGATCATGGCTGCTAGTTACATGGAAGTGGTCTAAACACTGCGGTCGTTTTCCTCATTTGGGGCTCAGCTCATTATATCAGCCACTTGCTTTCTTCATTATAATTTTTGTTACCAAATACATCATATATTTATAAAATTATATTTGTAAAATCTCAGCGAAATTGAAATGATTAATTCCAACGTTTCGTTCGGCAATCTGGTCCGAACTTCTTCAGGGAAATTAATCGAAATTAACATAACAGAGGTTTGTTTACATATAAAAGGAATATCTCTTTTTTTCTGAAACTTTGTCCAGTCATGAACCATGAAACAGTCATCAAAATTTAATGAACAAAAGTGCATGAACTGTGATCAAAATCTTTGACCTCAAACTTCCAAAATTAGTCTACAATATCGTTTTGTTTTTCATTCATTGGGAAATACAAAAACCTCTATTATAATGGATATCATATACCCAATGCCCAAATTTTTTCAAACCGTTATTAGTCTACTTTTGTTAAAATATATGTGTATAGGCAGTATACAATGGTGTGTGTATGTGTGTGTGAACAGTCATAACACATTTGTTATTCTCTCCATAAGAAAACGTAGACAATTGGGAATTTGACCAAGTGTGACTAGTTGTTGATACAAATCCAATTTTTATTTATTAGTCAGGATTTGCCATGCATCAGCTAACATCACACCTTCACGTATGTTCAAACTGTTGGGCTTCACCCATATTTGTAGGGCTTCCACAATCAGTCTTTCTTTATACGAACCAAAACCTTTCTGTAAAACCTTAGTCTTATCAAAGTCGATCTTGTGTCCCGTTTCTGTCGAATGCAGAGCAATCGCTGATTTCTTTTCTAGCTTCTTCAAGTCTGCAGAGGTCTTTGGAACCACCTTTAGACATTGTTTATGCACTTTCACTCTTACATTTACCTGTCTGGTTTCTTCTACATATACGGCGTTACAGCCCCCACAATTGATCTGGTATACACAATCCTGCTGGCTTTCTTCTTCTATTTTATCCTTAACCTTCACCAGTGACGAGTGTAAGGTGTCAGTTGCACAAAAATACACTCTTATGATATGATTGTTAAGGATTCGCTTTATTTCATCGGATGTTTCTTTGAGGTAAGGAATCACCGCTGTACTTACCCAATTCTTAGCAACAGGTATCGATCCATACTTATCTTCCCATTTTAAATATCTTTTTATAAAGGCTTTAGGATAATTATTTGATTCAAGAGTGGATTGAACCAATTTTAGTTCCTTGCTAATATCTTCCTCATCAGTAACTAGACGTTTGGCTCTGTTGATCAGATTCTTGGCCACTGTTACTTTGGTGGTAAATGGGCGAGTTGAATAGTAATCTAGATTTCATGGTTCATGATTGGACAAAGTTTCAGAAAAAAAGAGATATTCCTTTTATATGTAAACAAACCTCTGTTATGTTAATTTCGATTAATTTCCCTGAAGAAGTTCGGACCAGATTGCCGAACGAAACGTTGAAATTAATCATTTCAATTTCGCTGAGATTTTACAAATATAATTTTATAAATGTCTACCTTTCACTCAGTGCTCAATTATTTTGCAACTATCCGGTCAAATCTTGATCACAGTTCATATGAATATCATTTATTGTTAACTTTCACAAAATTAACATTCTTTATAAAAATAATAGAATAAGGAAAACACATACACTCTCTGGGTGTAATCAAATAAACTAAAGTTGTTTGCGTATACATTTGTACAAAAGTGAAAACTTACAATTCAGGTACATAACCCAATTGAATAATCAGTGCAGTTAACGAATGCATAACCAGTTCTACTAAAGTCACACGTTCCGACTTTGAAACTGAAACCTGCAAAACATGAATTAAAGATAAGTACGTTGACTGCATCAGAATTTGTGAGTTGGATGGAATTTTTAACGTGGATATTTGCACTAAAACTCATCAGTTTAAAATGATACACTTAATAAAAGTACAAATAAAACTTTGACGAAAATATAATAAGGGAAGATGTAGGAAAGAAAGAACTATCACATGGACAATAATGAATTCCTAATGGACTTTGGAGAGCATACAGAACACAATATATCTGAGCTATTGAGAACAATTTGGAACCATGTCACTAACCATCTGAAGCCATTGATTTCTGGTATAGTAAATGTACAGTTTACATCTCGGTATGTATCTGAAACCAACAGTTAAAAACTTCGTAGATTGATGCCATCTTTTGATTTAACTACCTGTAACTCTTTTTTAACCTAGTGCAAAGTAGGCTAATATTCCGATGGCTTCACATGATGAAAATGTATTCTAGGCATGTCAGTTGTGATACAGCTTAACAGCGTCATCGATTTACTTTCCCACCTTACCTAATATAATAAGTATCAACACGACTTGACTAGTGTGTGTTTACCAACTACTCATATGGAGCAGTAATTAATATATGTCATATTGCAAAAAAATGGATTGTATTCAAATCAACTTGTTATCAAGGTGTTGATAAAAGATAAGATATCATTAACTCGAAGCCTAAAGGTATGTTAACTTTCCATTTTCTGCTTTCCAGTGTGTAAATTGTGTAAACTATTGTCATAAATCAACCCTATCAAGTGAAAAATATTCAAATGAAAACTATGGTGTGGATATACTTATTTTTCGTGGTTGCTATCATTAATAACCAGTGTGTGGTTAAGTGAGAACACAACAACAACAACAAATATACAATGCAAGACATTAAGATACTTACACTGCCACGTAATAAATCCAACAGAGCTTCCAAGTATATAGGAAACTTTTTGATACAATAATGAGCAAATAATGTATCAGCTTGTACACAGTCATAAAATACCTAAAAGGGTAAGAATGAAGAAAAACAAATTTAATGATAAATACGACAAACGAGAGAGTAACACTTCCACGTGATGATTTACCTTTAAATGTTTTGGTGTTTGAAGTCGGTCAACAGGAAGGCTTGACGCTTGTTTCCACTCGTCAGCATGACTTATCTTGAACTATTGAAGGAAATAGTTTCAACTGATCCATTACTACAGACAAAAACGTAATCACTGACGAGTACTAGTAGGCACGATGCTTAGATCCACGACTTCCTACCGGTTACCTTTGATCACCTGATATCGATTTGAAGAACACTGCGATAGTGAGTCACCTAGCTTGGTGACAACATTTCAAGCACCAATAAGTCGTAGACACATAAAATTGGTTACTCTCTAATGGTCAATTAATGTAACTACTAAAATTCTACAGGAAGTCAATCGTGAGCCCGAATAGCCCAATAGTAAAGACTCCGAATACAGCACTAGGTGACGTGGCAATGAATTTCATAGACGACATTGATTCCTGAAAGTTTGCTGATATAAGTTGTTAACGAGTGTCAACAAGCACTGTGAACCATGTAAGAGTATAAAATCCATTAAAACTAAGACATGTGAGGAACTGGATGAAAGACAGACCGAAATAGAACAAAATAGTACAAAAGTGCATCTCAGTAAGCTAAGCCTTCCTCTGGATTTCCTTCGCCGATAGTGTTTGGCGTTTTTTGTTGTTGATGCAATTGTCTACATAACTGACGTGAAACCAACACGCCCGGGACTTTCACTGCCTTTCATAAACTAGACGGCAACTGCACTAACGTTAGAGCACATAAAATATTTTAAACACTTATAAAATCAAAATATCAAAACACATTTCCAGTAAATCAACTGTAATTCTAACTTGTGGTAAACCAATTAGGACGCAACACGTGGTTAACGATTAATGACTTTAAATAGTTTTCTAGATTACAAGCACTTATGGAATAAAAGATTTTTAGAGACCGACCCAACCTCTTTGAGCCCCATAATGATAATGGCAAAGAATAAAGTGAAGAATTATCAAATAACCTAACTTTCCAGTAGTTTAGTGGTAGGATGCTTGCTAACACCGCTTGAGATCCAGATACGATTCACTGCCAACACATGCTTAAAAATCTGACCAAATATGTAGTAAGCCAGGAAAAGAAAAGTTCAGAGTGAGGTTAGCAACCTAATGTCGTAAAACCAAACCATACCAATGTTACTGAGACTTAAAAGCCTCTGTTCCACACGGATTGCAAGTAATGAAACAAAAATAGTCTTGTGTTTTCTCTTAACCATCAAAATAGAAAGTTTTAGGTTCATAATTTATTTAAAGCAGAAATGTTTACCAGAGGAATAACCCCAAAAAACGACAGCTTATGTACCAGGCTTCCCCATTCAATTATTTGCGAAATATGTGTACACATCTACATTCAAAACAAGTATACAGTAGTTTACTTAGCATTGAATTTTTTTTGGTTGGAATAGTATTCAATTTTAGTTTAAGCCAGGAGTCTTCTCATACAACATGAATAAAATAAAAGATTGAACTGCATTTAGACACCGTACATCTAATAATACCTTATATATGAATATTTGTATGATAGTTCTGATTGAAATGCTTGGTTTCGATAGTGTACAAGTAAGCCATTGATAAATTGTTTATTCGATTACTAATGAGGTAGAGAGATTTTCTGCACTTTTACAACTACTCATACTTCGCATACTTTTGTGGTAGATTTATAATCAAATGTTAGTTAACAGAGATTTGGTTGGTTTCAAGTTTGAACACGAAATGACTTCTTTAAGAGAATTACTGAAAAACAGAGAATACTGGGCAGCCACTTCGTTCGACTTTGAGACATTCTTCAACAGTATACACCTACGACCTCATCGGGGATTGAATCCATGACTTGCAGGTTAAGAGGCAGTCTTGCCGCCTTTTCAGACACCGCGACGAAATCTTACAGCTCATAACAATGGATGGCAGTGGCTCTGAAAATTACCAACTGACCGATGCTAGGATTTATGGGCCATTGGATTCTGTCCCAGTGACTGAATCAGCAGGGAGCTCGCCTTGTAATCTAAAGGTCCTGTGTTTGATTGCTGATGCGTTCATAAAGGAGCACTGACAAAGAGCTGCAAACCAGAACGAAACAGCTATCCAGAATACTTAGATAAGTGATACGAATACACACACAAGCATACATAGACACGCAAACTTGAAACCCCTATACGAGGTGAGGTAGTAGAAAAACACCACATAAATAAATAGAACAAAAAATCCAAATGAAAACTGAAAAATTTCATAAATCATAAGTTATGAATTTAGAAAAATTAAGCGGATGATAATTCGGCACCTGGTGACTTCCTGGCTGATGACACTGACGGTTCGAAGATGGCCTTCAGATCAACATGTTGTTTGATAGATAGTGAGTAACCACAGAATCCAGAACTCGCGTTTCGTCTTTCCTCGAAGGCATCATCTGCATGTGCCTGCATCTTCAGATATCATTCAAGAGTTTATACTAGGAGCCAATATCTCAACAGAGATCCAGCATTTCAGTAAAATATAAACAGTCAACGGGAAGTGCAAATTAACTTGAATGAAAACCAGCTAACATCCATTGGTTAAGTAGTGGCACCTGTTGCTCAGTGGAAAACTCTCCATAGTTTTAAACGATGGGTGCACTAGGCTCTTTACTCAGTGAGCAGGTACTCACATACAGTTGAAGAGTCATAAACAGGACGAAATAGGCATATCCTGAATTCCACTGCTAGCCACTATCAACCAAATGAGGAGATTCAGCCTTCATTGGAAATTTACCTAACTCCGTCATATAAACAAAGCGTATTATCAACAATTATTATTTATTCAACAAACTGTCATGAGATTTTGGTGAATATTGAATGTGTGCATGGAGTAGAAGAGAAAAACAGAAATAGTAGTTAATTAGGCATGAAGACAACAACAAAAAAGGCACTCATTGTCCTATAAGCAGGTAATAATGCACACAAACTCAGAAGAAAAGATTGGAAAAAAAGCATGATTAGCAAAAATGTTTACACACTTTTTATACCTGCCTTCATGATAACATGAACAACACAGATTTCAATAAACATTATGATGGACAGTTTAACTGAACTGGAACACAGTAAGAGAAAACTAAGAATAGAGAAAGGTATTCATGTTTACAAGTATGAAATGGAAGATTGTTTTGCTGTTTTAAAAAAAAATAAATGTTTCCGAAAATAAAGCATAATGAAATTACTATTGAACTGAAGCATTTAACTAGATTTCTGTCTTTATATCTATTACATATCCTATCAACTTCTCCATTACATTAACATAACACACGGTGGTACCGTAACAATAATTAGATGATGTTTCGGGCACAATTTATTGCTCATAGTCAAATCAGTAGGCGTTGCGTCACTTCCACTACAAGTGTTTGGTGTGGATTCGATAAACGAAGATTCAATGATTAAACTCTCCACCTAATTGCAATAGTTTCTAGTAATTTCACCCTATCTAACATAGTGTGTGATGATGACATTCAAGTGAACACATTGGAATCAACGAGCTTTTTGCTAGATTCTTTAATTTAGTAAGGTAAATCATTCTAGCTCTAGCTAAATTTTCATGTTCTGATAATCTGATTGACCCCTATCTACTAGTTTAACCTACGTTATTGATCTCATAGTCCATGAGACGCATGGTATTTCGTAAATTATATTATTTTTCTTAATTGGATCTAAGCTAACAAAATTTATCTTTGAGTGAGTTGGTTGATTAAAGTGCCGGACTAATTCCAGCCTTGTTAAGAACCCTCCCTACCTAGGTTAATCACCGAATTTTTGTTCATCGAATCAACACCAAGTGCGTGAAGTGGCAATGACGCAATGCTTATATCAGATATTTCGGAAACTGCAGATGGGAGGAAGATATACATAAAGCAAGTTATTAAGCCGTGTGAATAAATCAATATGATTATGAGAAACAAATTGTGCTCGCATATTCATCTCATTATTAATACTGTATCGCTGCGTGTTATATATATAAAAAGTTATCTGATATGGAATCATATATTCTACCACAGAGTTAATATTCTACTCTCACATTACTGAAGTGAATCACAAAACCACCGTGATCAATGGCAACGAAACGAACAAATTACTGGAGGAATACAAATATAGGCAAAACATAAATTAGGCCCAAAGACAGGATGTTCAAGTGATCGTTCAATGTATCTTTCTATTACTTCACACTAAAAACCAATAACACTAATTGCTGTGGCCACCAGATACGATTTTGTACATTTAATCTTACAATTTCAACTACACTTGATACCAAACTTAACAATGCATTACTCAACACATGCATTTCACTATCGCTTGGGAAGATGTGGTCACTGTACAAGAGGATGAGAAAATTCCGAAAAATTATAAACTGCTAATAAAACTTTGAAGGTAATGATCACATTATGCTGTTAAACGTTAGTAGTAAAATTATTATTTAGAATTACAAACGACTTACTTTTGCTGTATGTATACATAAACGACTAACCCACAGATACGAAATATAAACGCGTAAATGTGTTTCCAACTCTGGTTGGCATAGTTGATTTGCAATGAACATAGCAATCTAAGAACGTAAATAAAAATGAAATACGTAGGAAAAGAATATGTTCACTTTACTTCAAACGATAAATTTTATCACATTATTGTATAAGAAATGTCATATTAGAAGTAATGACTGCTGAGTCGCCAACCACATACGTGGTTGTAGTCCACCACACGACCAATTCACTCTCATACCTCGGCTAAGAGGCGGTAAGTTCTGAAAAGAGGGAAGGTTTGGCATGACACTGTCCGCGCGACCAGTCGCGCATAAAAGCATCACCATCGTAGCTGAAACCTTAAAGCTTAAAGTTTGATGCCCTATATTCCAATAAGAAGTCAGAGGAAGCAAAATAAAATGATTGAAGGTGAAATGAAAATCTGGTTCGTAACAGAATTCGTACAAGCGGCCTCTGCATTAAATTTCATTATCACCTACGGCATCAATAAGGGTCTGATAATCTCAGGCTTTCTGAGATTGTTTCACCATCGATCAATAACCTGCATCTCAACTTTTAAGTTAGTAGGATTATAAGTGACTAAAAAAGACATTCACACATTTAACTGACAGGCAATACTCCCGGTGACTGCAGTGAAATATCATGACTCAGTTACTGAGCTGGGTGTTGTAACTCAACTGGTAGAGGCCACTGTTATGAATTCAACCACTACCCATATTTTAGCTTCACCTTCGACCATCACTTATAACATTATTGGCAGTCCGCCAACTTCAAGCTATCCCGGATAGTATCACCACTAAAATATTATATAAGTATATTTTTTTGTTGTGATCATATCCCCTGGGGTTAGGTGATTTAAATGAAAAGTATTCATTCCAATTCTAGGCATATTTAACACTAACTTTAATGTGAATAGAGTTTTTGGAATCTCCCATGATTGATATAATTGTTTCTCTATGGCATTAGCTGTTTTAAGTTGTCTTCAGAGTATGTCAGTAAAAGGATCAGTCAGAGTACAAATGAACAGAACGATAAGAATACCACTGAAGACAGCTACTAATCACAGCCAAATTCGTCAAAACGGTGACTGTTACATCATGCATGGAGAATTCCAAACACTCATGAAACACGGAAGTCATCCCTGAAGATGCTACCCGTAGAATGATAATGAAAGTTTCTCGATCAAAGGAATTCAACTCAGAGAACATAATCACGTAAAACACGTTCACCTGAGCCACGAATCTTTATTATACCAGAGTTTGTATTTTACAGATCTACACTATCAAATCAGACAGAACTACTGACAACTATGAGTGATACATTAATAAACATCAAAAAAATTTTCAGAAAGATAGAGCATAGCTCATCTTCTGTGAACAATTAGTAAAATATTATAAATTATTTAAATTAATCCCAGCATGTTAAGAAACTCAAAACAAGATTTTTCTGAACGTTTCGCCGTGTAAGCCACAGCTACGGTCTGGAAACCTATAATTAGCAATATATATATTTAATAACTGATAGTCGTTGTTCAAGTGATGGGTCTCGTGGCCGAAATGGCCTAGTAGCTAACGCTCTGACGTTTTAAACGACGGGCGGAGGGTTTGAGTCTCAATGTACTGCAGGTACATACAGCTGGATGAGTCCAGAGTAGAATGAAAACCATATTGTGGATTAATCATTCTTATTTCTTTATTAGTTTATTGAAGCAATTCACCAAATTAAACCCATTCCAACCAATCAGTTATTCAGAACACATTTCTTGTGTACCAGGTCTACAAGATACACTTTTTGTGGGGAGAGGCTAATGACATTTTCCAGTTACCGTCAAGCTTGAAGTAATTGGAGTGGGGGGTCGAAAGCAGGACTCGAATGAGATTAAGTCTAACGGTTATGTTTCTGCCTAATTTGTAAAACATTTGGGCTAACTTTAGACCAGATACCCTAGTTAACTGTGACGAATACGAAAATTGTGGCATCAAGCCTTCCAATGAGCTGATCTCATATAATATCAAATATTAGACTACATTTCACCACGGTGAGCATTAGTGTAGAATCATTTGGCCTGGTAACTTTATTATATGACAAAAGTGGTATACTCCCAACGAATTAATCAGGCAAAGTCATGGCATTATTAGTTATCTGTTGACATCTATGACAGCAGTAGTGAGTGGCTAAATTTGACAATGTATCTCATACAGACATAATACATGACCCATAAATGAAATGAATGTAAATGGGGAGCCCAACTCAGAGGCTTGGTAGTTGAGATCTAACACAATTCAATTGATTAATTCAGCATCAATCATGAGAAGACCAGAAAATGACAGAAATTATCAGCAAAAAACTCTGATAACTACAGCAGTGCCTCAAAACTAAGAGTCATAAATTCTTATGCAGTGCTTGCAGCTTAAGTAAGTAGAAAATCATACAAAACTGCAGCCAATTTTAACCACTTAAACAATGCAGTCACATGCAAACACAAAAGGAAGGACGATATTCAAAAAGGAGACATATCAAACTTTTTATAAATCTGACTAAATAGGCGATCTATTTGAATAAAAGATTTTGACTAATGTATCACAGAACTAGAAGCTTGACTGAAAATCGAGAAATTATTACTATGAGGAGAGAATGGAACAAACGGACTGCGGTGCATAAATAGGTATTAAAAATTAAAAATTAACAAAAATGATTAATAATGAAATTGTTTTTTTAAGTAGATACAATGAACTGTCAGACTACAAGTCAACAAAAAATACGCCTTTTGTAGAGATAATTGTTGAGATCAAAATAGCTATTTTTAATGTGATTAGTATTTTTTATAACTGGCTAATGAATTTCCATATCTTTCGAAATACATTTGTACTTTATTTCACCTTACACCATCAACTATTATCATTTCGAAAACCATTGAAAACCAAGAAGCCCTCAACAGCTATTTTATGTCCATATTTTGGACTATTCAGCACTACATGGTCACAAATCCACCAGGGATCAAGTTCAGGGTCTACAGATTATGACACCAGTGCCTTGACTAACAGAACTGTTGCTAATCATCTCAAACCATTGATTCTTAGAGTCTCAGTGATTCCGGACAGTTAGATTGCACTTTCCCGCGAAATCCAAACTGACAATCAAAGACTTCACGAGGTGATGCCATGATATCGTCTCCCCACCCCTTAGTCAGAATTCTTAACACATGCTACTATATGATTTAGAGGTTTGGTGTACGCGTCATGGTAACATTTGCCTGCTTGCTCGATAATGTGGATCAGATGACCGGCTAGTAAGGACAATCAACAAGGCAGCCATATACCAGCCAACCAAACAAATATACATCGAGGCAATCTCTGAGTGGAACCCGAATGAAAAACAACTAGCCTGGTTTCAATCCTAGGGTAACATGATGGAGACCATGTGAAGAGGAAATTACAGCTGGCGGGGAGCTGTTGAGCTAGTTTAAAACTGAATGGAATAGAGATACACCGCCGAAGCCGTATGTTCCATTTATGATGGAAGGAACGAATAAATAATAATTTTCAATGAGAAATGTCAGAAAACATTTTGTTTTGTTTTATTTTAATGAATGGTAAAAAGTTAAAAGACTCAATAAATTTTATGATTTTCCGCTACTCATCATCGATATGATAATAGAGACTGAAAGTATTCAATTACGGTGCCTGAAGTTGATTACACAGAAAAGCAAAAACACATAACAAAAACGAATAATGTCACAAACAACTTCTTAATGAATTGTACTATCAAATAACGCTCAGGATCTATATATGAACCCTTTGAACTTTTGCCGACTGAAAAGCGTACAATTACTGTTTAATATAAATATGAATTGTTATTATTACTATTATTAGTAGTAGTAGTAGTAGGAGGAGGAGGAGGAGCAAGCAGCAGCACCAGCCAACAATTAATACAATAGGCAACATAAATACATGGTATAGGCAGGCCTTCAGAGAAATAATTTAGAACAAATTAGCCGTGTGAAGTTAATAATAATCATTAATCAGTGAATGCATGGTAGTTAATTACGAATAAGTTATATGATGGACAGTAATCAGTATACTAATAGGCGCAAAATATTCTTGTAATACTTTAAAAAAATCTTGTTGTTTTCAATATTCTAATCATAACCTATTCATTCATACGAACTGTGATCAAGATTTGACCGGATAGTTGCAAAATAATAGTTACAAATATAACTTTATAAATAACCTATTCATGTCAAAATTGATGTTCAATGGGAAAACTTGCAGCCAAATAATAACCTCTCCTACTTTTCTTATCCCTTAATTTTACAGCCACTGTACAAATAACACACTGAAGATGTGGACACTCAGTCTTTGACCAAAATCCAAAACAAAATCAAACTGTTTCCAATAAATTTATATCGAATCCAAAGTTGCTAAAGGAACTGCAAGATGTACTTTGTATTTACACCTTGTTGGATTTTGAAGTAATCATACGAGTACCGCAAATTCGTTCAGTTTATCTGACTGATATGAGACCAACTTTGCGACCATGCGATGCATCACATCGGATAGTTGGTGGTTTGCCACTGCGTTGATGATTACGAGCACCATGAGGATTTTCAGTGGCGTTCATTGCTACACCTTGAACTCTAGGTCGACAATGCCTTTTAGCTTTGTACTAATGATGGGCACAATCTGCCCTCAAGATCAGCTTGTCTACTCGGCCACCAACAAGACGGACCTTTGAACAAAATGCTGAGGGTGAAATTTCCTTGCCTCTTGATGGAAGTTCAACCCAGGTGCGCTTTTTGTCAGGATTACAGGCAACAACTGTGGCATAGTGATCACTTGTATGAGACAGTCTCCCACGATTCCCACGCTTTTCTCCCAGATTGCAAACTACTGTACCTTCAGGCACAGGTACCAATTATGAGAATACTGCCAACCTGAAGTTTGGCCCTCTTACCACAATATATAAATTGATTAGTGTGCAGGGCTTTCGCAGCATTGAATGTTCGTTTGATCAGTTAGTAAGAGTAAACATCCCTAGAAGCGAATTTAGCTGGTGGAGCCCCTCTACCCGGACCGTGAATTATTTCCCTAACCACAACCTCTGATGCCCGATGAGGTCAACTGGTCGCAATCTATACATCCACTATCCTTACGTTGATATTTAATAATCTTCTTGTCCCGCAATCCAAAGGAATTCAATCGGAAAGTAAAAATATCTCTAAATGTTAGTTTGCCGGATTTAAAGTAACATAATGGTTTGATGTCAGTGAGAGAGCCGCTAACAACCAGCAAAAAGCAGGACTGTCTCGTCCAATCTCGGGGCCCTTCACCAGTACGCACGCGCGACTCCATTAAGAAACCTAATCCACAGTTCTTAAGTGACGAGGCAACCCCATTGACTATTCAGCCCCTAGGTGGCTGACTATAATACGAAGCTATTTAGAGATCTACTGAGAAGTCGTGGCCAGTGAGTTACACTGAGTCGGGCGTGAGAACAAAATATTCACCGATGATACTGGTTGGCAGTGGCGCTAGGTATCACGAATGCGCTGAATGGTCAACAGGCCTGTAAGCCCATATACAAAATAGACTTGGGTGATGTATTTAAAGTAGTTGAAACCGTAACCATAAAAAGGTTTAAACTTGTTTTGTGTTCAAAAGTTATTTCTTGTTAATGCGAAGCTGCCTCGGTAATCTAATTTAGAAACCGAAGTTTATTTTGCCGGACGATATTTTCGCCCTCCTTTTTTTCTTTCTTAAATCTGCTACCTCTTATCCATGATCATAATCCGTAAACATTTTGACATTTATTATTCTAATTTTGATCTCTTTATATTGTGTTAACTTTTATATAAATATGTACGATAAGTTCGTGTGTTTGTGATCACAATGACCGAAATGTGTTGCGCAAGTACACATTACAAGTTTCAGATAAATTACGTCTTCTTATTGATTTATCGAAACTTATTAGTTAACAATGGTTCTCCAATTAGTATTGCTTAGTGATGTAATCTGCCTTGCTATAGAAATGAATCTTCGAACACCAAAACACTGTCAAAAACTAATTTGTCAAAATGAATACATCCCATAGTTTTTGATGTGGTTTTGTTCTCTGAGCTGGATGGTTAGTTTACGAAGCTTTCATCACCCTACCGGGTGACATCTTCAGCGCATACTTCAATTTGAAGTGAGCTTTTAGGTTTCTCCACGAGTTTATTAATCATTCCTCCTGGTGACCTTGGACGTGATTGGTTGTTTATGTGTGTTTTCACACCTTCTAGGTTACTTGTATTGGAACTGATTGTTTTTTTGACTTGAACTTTGACCCTTTGTGTGTGAGGTTTCTTTCTTATCGGTTGATAAATTTTGTCTATCTCGATGTGTCTATTGATTGATGATTCACTGGAATGCCAAGCTTCTCTAGCATTCTTGTTATTTCCTCTGTCTAATATTTGAACGTTGTCCCAGTCGAATTGATGTCCGTGGTTGTCTGTGTGTAGTGAAATGAGGGAGTGGATATCATGTCTTTTGACGGCTAACTTATGTTCGTGGATACGAAGACGAAGGGGACGTCCACTTTGGCCAATGTAGTGTTTTTCGCAGTTGTTACAGTTTATTTTGTAGATGATGTTGGTTTTGTCTTCTTTCGCTGTTGAGTCTTTTGGTCGACATAGAATTGAGTGTCAACCAAAAGACTCAACAGCGAAAGAAGACAAAACCAACATCATCTACAAAATAAACTGTAACAACTGCGAAAAACACTACATTGGCCAAAGTGGACGTCCCCTTCGTCTTCGTATCCACGAACATAAGTTAGCCGTCAAAAGACATGATATCCACTCCCTCATTTCACTACACACAGACAACCACGGACATCAATTCGACTGGGACAACGTTCAAATATTAGACAGAGGAAATAACAAGAATGCTAGAGAAGCTTGGCATTCCAGTGAATCATCAATCAATAGACACATCGAGATAGACAAAATTTATCAACCGATAAGAAAGAAACCTCACACACAAAGGGTCAAAGTTCAAGTCAAAAAAACAATCAGTTCCAATACAAGTAACCTAGAAGGTGTGAAAACACACATAAACAACCAATCACGTCCAAGGTCACCAGGAGGAATGATTAATAAACTCGTGGAGAAACCTAAAAGCTCACTTCAAATTGAAGTATGCGCTGAAGATGTCACCCGGTAGGGTGATGAAAGCTTCGTAAACTAACCATCCAGCTCAGAGAACAAAACCACATCAAAAACATCCATCTGAGCTACAAATCTTCTCTATCATATCTACATCCCATAGTTTAATGAACAGGGACCTCCTAGACGGCATGATGAAATAGGGAATTTATGGAATTACAGATAACATACCAATCACTTTCAACGGGGGAAAATTTCACTTTTCTGAACAATATCGTATCATTTACAGGCAGTTGGTACAGATAATGATGTCAAAGGCTGGATCGCAAAAACATACCTTCACTATTCGGAAAACAGGCTGAAAATTACTAAGTATTAAGAACCAACCAGATTTGAATTTTCAACATGACTGTCAAGTTAGTTTTTCTATATTGTTCAGAGAGTCGGCATTCTAAGAAGAGCATTTCCAACCGGTTGAAAACTTTTGTCAATACCTGCTTTTGCCGCATACTAAAGATCAGATGGACGACCATAAAGGATACACAACAAAGAACTTCAGTAAACAAACAATCCGAATGGGAGACGAGTTGACCCTCTGAGAGTGACATGGGGGAGTTACTGTGAGGAGGAGATGAGAGTATATGAGCAATTGTGGAGTCAGTTAAAGAAGACTGCAAAGAACAGGAGAAGTAAAGATGTGTTGTTGGAGCCGTATGTTTCACTCAGAACCTGCGGGAGTAATAATAATACAGAGGCCGGGTTGGCAGTAATAACTGTATAGAAAGTTTCATTTCTTTCAAGCCAATTACTATGGCTTTTAATGTTTGGAGTATTTGGTAATTGGTGCCTTCTGGAAGTTTATTCGCTACATGATAGACGATAAAGTAAAATTCGTTAATCCCGGTCCTTTTGGTCCAGATGTACTAGTATTAATCTATTAGTACGTTTTATTACACCTTTATTAATTAGCTACACTGGTAGCTGTTTCCAAGCAACAGTCGTTGTAACTGGTCCTACATGAGAGGTAGAATTAATCACAGATACAGGAAGAAGTGGTTAACTTAGGCACTTCATCTTTCTGAACCAAAATCGCAAGCTTGATTTCTTATGTTTAATTTAGTGTTATACTTATGCATTTTATAACAGACACACACACTTTCTAAAAACTGTAATCGAGAAACAATTTATTCACCATATGCCGCTTGGACTTTTTATCTTGATGATTGGATGTTATTTAATAGAAAATATTATTGTTGCCAATAAAAAATATTCTTTAACTATTGCGGATATGTAACTATAGAACCTGAAAGAGTTATGAAAAATAGTCTGTCTGTCTGTCTGTCTGGATTCAACATAGAACTTGGTACCGAAGTGCAGCAGTTCGAGTTGCCACGTTCCAAATAGCACACTGAGGTAGACAAGAAGATGAGTGAAGAGAATCAATAGAGTTTGACAAGTATAAGAGTGAAACAGAATGAGTGATGGTAGAAAGGAATATGAAAGATTAAAGAGACTGAATACATCTGAGCTGGTCATTGACAACGATTTTGAGCCATGTCACCTATTGTCTCCAGCCATTGATTCCTAGAGTCCCGAGGGCCCCAACCCGGGAGTCTGCATGTCCCTACCTGACTCAGTTTAACTGTCAAGGATTTCATGGATTGATGAGGCCATGTTTTTGTTTGACTACCACTAGCTCTTTTCCAAACTGCACCTGTATCAGTTAGTAGTGCCCGTCGGGGAAGGCGATGGTTAGGCATGCGCAGCACGTCACCTAGCCATCTCAATCTATGTAACTTTATAGCCTCGTCGATTGATCTTCCCTGTTTGCCCAACACTCTACGCCTAACGTCAACATTACTTAACTTATTAAACCAGCTAACGTGAGAAAGAGATCGCAGACATGTATGATCGAAAGCAGTATGAAAAATAGTATATTCATTTTTACTGTAAACACAATGAGGGGGTTTGGTTTTGTAAATGGCTGTCGTCTCAGAATATTTCAGTAGATGCTCATGACAGTTTCTGCACGACAAAGCATAAAGTTGATCTGAATTGTAAGATACGTTTTCCAAACTTCACACAAAATTCCATTATGGAAGCATATTGAAATGCACACTCAGGTAAATCGCCTCTTTCTTCCTTCCTGTCCGAGTGGAACGCGGGGCTTCAAGATTTCGAGTTTCAGTAGCAGTGGTGCTGGCATTCTTTCTCCAGTTGGGGTTGTTAGCCTCAAGCCAAAAATTCCATCTTATTCGTTCTTACTAAAAGCTAGTTGAGGTTTAGGAGTAAGTCAGCTGGAAATCGAACCCGAACCTCCCGCATGGTCGGCAAGCATTCTACCACCCAATTATTGACGCCAGTCGTAGGCATTCTCAAAACTACATCTTTCCCGACCTCCGTATTTGGACGTACAAAAACAACTTATTGTACCACTTAATCTACCATGGTGATCCTGGTGATGACAGATCACTAAGTATAGTGCTATTCATTATTCTTGTTATATAAAAATCCTCCTCATATTTTGTTGATTCGGTATTAACCATAAAAAGAGAAGACGATGAAGTACAAAACAAATAATCTAAACTCACATCATGTGTTCGTATTGAAAATTTCCCCGGTTTTGTGATTGCACCAAATGTATTACTATCTGGATCAATTGACAAGCATACTGTAGAGAAGGGGCATGTGAAAGCAGTTAAAGCACCCATAGCATGCTCACGAATATCATCTAACCGATTAACATCAGCATCTGTATAATTACAGAAAGAAAACATGTTATAGATCACTTCTTTTAATTGTTAAACACTTGATGTAAAACTTATCTTTCATTCAAGTATTTATGGATCCACTTATCTGAATGAATCTGTAAAATCTTATCAATATACGATGTAGTTATTATTAGTACATTTAGGAGAAACAACCAACAATGCATAATACATTTTGGTTTGAAACTCGTAACTCGTTTATCAAAAGTTAAAAAGCAGTATAATTTCACATGAAATATCGGCCACTACAGAGTATTCTGGTACCCTGAACATTCCTTCCCTCGATGGGAGGCATAAATTACTAAATATGGGAGTGGTAAGCATTCAGAAATAATTTCAATGTGGATTTCGTCACAAACCGACATGATTTAGAAAAGTGGTCAAATCCAAAGGGCGTGGAACACTTCTTTCTTCCCAGTTTCGAACTCCTCAACATCGTTCATCGATGCTTAATGGTCAACAGGCTTGTGCCCTAACCTAGATTCGATCCCCGTTGGCAACATGGGTGCATACTGATGAAGAGTCAAGAACATATAAATACGTACTTATTCGTTTTATTTTGTTCCTTTACATTTCTGGTGGAGCATAGGGCTTCAAGACAGAGCTTTCAATTTTCAGTAGCAGTAGTTTCGCTTTTTTATGAGATGGGGTTACTAGCCTCACGCCCAACCTTTCCGCTTGCCGTCCTTACTACCGGCTTAGCCAGGTACATAAGTGCGTTGACTAGGGATCGAGCCCGAAACCATATGCGCGGTTAGCGAACGTTCTACTGCTGAACCACCAACGCCCATATATATATATATATATATATATATATATATATAATTGTCCTAAACTATTTAACAAGCAGTATTTGTATTTTGGTCGGTGGTGACTGGCAGTGAAACCTAAGACACACCCGTATTAGCAGCCGATGTATCAACAGAGGTAGAACATTTCGGTCCCACCAGTCAACAGACAAAACCTAAGTAAATAGTAATCGTCAATATTAAACGTAACAATCGTATAATATTTCCGTTATTGCTTTAATAACTACAAAACAGAAGAATCCCTGAACTCATTTGTGTCTTGAAGCAAATAGCTAGAAATTAGTCGTTAAATTTCCAAATGTTGTAACAAGAGTAAAAATTGACTGGAACTCAGAATTTTTCAACCAACAAAAAACAACCTTATACAAAGAGTTGTATGAAATGGCTATCATAAAATCGTCAACATTTTTGCAGATTCCTTGAACTACTAACAAGTAACTAAACATTTTGAGCGGAAATAATTTACATATCCTCTTGACTGATTCACGTTTCTGCGTCTCTGGTGGAGTGTAGAGATAATGTCGCAAATTCCCATTCCTCTCGGCTTTCTGTAATCAATTTCAGCTGGATTTACAAGTGACTACATACATTAATTTCCTCTTCACGCGTGATCTCCATATCACTCTCGGATCCACACCCTACTAGTCGCCACCCTTTCGGATTCCGCTTGAGTTCCTGTCTGGTGTGTGTTATCAATAGGTCTCCACAGTACGTATCTAACCAATTTTCACTTCCTATGGCATATTTGTTGATCACTGAGATACGGTGGTCGCTGTTACTCTCCTAGAAGTTTGCTTAGGATACATTCATCGCTTTCTAGAGGAGAAATCAATGAGACCTCTAATCAACTTACTGCTCAAATCATAAAATAAATGAATCAATTTTACTTCATTAAGTGCCAAATGCTTTTATTTGACTCTATTTTGAAGAAAAAGACTTACTACTAGAAAAAAATATTTTGTATATACACAAGCAAGTCAGGATCACATTTGCCCCAACAACAAAACATGCCAGCTAAATGCTATAAGCACCGACCACTATAAACGGACGACATCTAAAGGAAGTTCATTCACTTACTTATCTAGGTGGCATCGTTCCAACTACAGGTGGCAGCACGGGTGGGGATATCAAAGGAAGCCAGGACCAAGAAAGCAGGACAGACCTTCAGTACTCTGAAATCAGCGAGGAAATCTACTGCACTCCGCATAAGGAGACACATCCGTATCTCCAAAACTAGAATCAAGTAAGCCAGTGCTTCATATGGTTCGAGACTTGCGTTTTCAACATTCTGCTGCAGACCTTCACCAACTCCTGCCTTGGCTCCCTACTGAAGATCAGATCACCCAATAGAAAGGAGAAACAACTAGCAATTCTGGCAACGAAACAACCAACAATTTATTGTCTAGCAAACGTGTTGAATGAGATGGAGACAGAGAGGATATACACTGAGGAGACCGTTGAGTGAAGTCACATATCAGACAAACCCTCCAGTGAAACTTGAATAAGAAGAAATGAATCAGGCGTGGATTAGAAGGCGGCTTCAGGGAGATCATGCGAAGAGGAAATAAAAACATAAGGGCGGATCTGGACTCAACTAAAAAGGACTGCAGAGAACAGGGTGAAATAAAGATGCGCCGCTGAATCCTTATGTCCCACAAGTAGCCCAAGTGAATAAAAACAATACGCACCATAATGGATACCTCTAGAAACCAATGCAAAAAAGCAGTTAGCTACAACACTAGAAAACGAAAAAATACTACTGATTGTTACATTCAGGCCTAATAAACACAAACTTAAGCGGTTAATATAATGCAGTCAGCACATGTGTACAATTTGATAGGCGATTAAAAAATAAAATAAGCAAACTAAAATTTACCAGCTATACTATACCGACTGACTGATGGCATTAATACAAGAGTTTTTATAGTCTGTAGATGATGTTTTTTCAGTTCAGCGAAGAATTCTTCAACAATTGATGAAGGTCTCTCAACCATGCGTTCAATTAAATAACGAATGCACTGTAGGTATAAAAAGAAAGGGAAACAGAGACACAGAGAGAGAGAGATAAGTTAGGAGAGTTTAGATAATCCACATATATGTAGTTCTAAATTAAAATGATTATTGTTAACAGAGCCGATTTTTCTATCTAAATACAACTATAACAGGTGTGTTGTTAAGCTGACACCAGTAAGAGAACCATTGGGAAGCCAAGGAGTACTAGATAGTTATTTCGCCCTCGTTTGGGGCTCTTCACAGTACGCACCTATACCCCACCGGTAGTGACAGAACACAGTAGCTTCCTTGTACGAGGTGAACATGTAGACCATTCAGCCACTGAGACCCGATCCGATGACCCATGAGTTCCAACCTTTTCCAATCCCTGAGATATAGCGTAATTACGAGCCAGTGTTACCAGCGAGTAACCGTCCTCATACCTGAATTGGTAGAACCCACTGATCACCACATATCACTAGAAGTCTAGGTAACTTTCTGTATAAAGCCAGTTTTCCTTAGTCCTCTAACTTGTGCCACCACGTGATTAAACTCGTAACCAATCAAATCCCTGCAAACCAACAGTTGACAATTATACTAGCTTTAAAGCCAGTTTACGAAATGATACTATTTAGAGAATCCCTCAAGACTAGGGAATATCGGACAGATAACTATGACTCCTCAGCAGTAGGCACCTATGACTCCACAACAAGGATTGAACCCACGTTTCTGCTCATATTTACTCAAAATGGTTGCAGACATTCCAGATGAATTACTTGTTGGGGTTAGAAATACCTTCCATTATGTGATACCGAACTATAGTGCAAGATACAGCTTGCATAGTGTCATACCAGCTAGTTTGGTGATTGCACTAACCATCTGATGATCTACAAATCTGTGTCGACACGCTCTAGATTAAAAGAGTTACATTTAGTCACCGTTTGTCCAATAGTCCTAAAGAGGGTCAGTCGTTATTTTATTCGTGAAGTCTCTAACTTTAATATATAACAATAATAAAGCTCTATTTCAAACACATATGTGGATACATAGTACAGTCATATTTAGGGCATTCAGTCCCAAAATACTTCCCCTTCATACACAATTTACTCGTAAAGCAATAATCTGAAGTAATCAAGTGACGCCGAGTTCTTTCGTATGAAAACAGGACCAATTTTGTACACTTTTCTTTCAATTCCTTCAAAAATTGTAGAGCATATGGTGGGAAACTAATTAAATATGCGCGCGAGTTCATGTAGTGGTCATTTGATATAATTTCATGATTAAAACAATATATTTAATTTTTCTTGATCACAGCTTGATTCCACACCGCATGTTTGGTACAGGTATGGGATTTTCAGCATGTGATATCGATAGCCCAAATTTTGCAGGCCGACCATAGGATATCAGGTGTGCGTCGGCAGGGGATCGAACCTCGAACCATGTGCATGGTCGGTGAGAGTCCTAACCACTGCGCCACCGATGCAGAAGAGTTTAAACACTTCTATGGATGGAAATTCTGATAGCCCAGTGATTTAAGCAGGCCGCCGATATGTGTGAAGAAGATTCAATTGAAGAAATGAACAAAAGATAGAGTTTCCACAAATTTATAAATACACCCTATTGATAAATACCAAGTAATAGTTCAAAAGACTTATAAATTAGAAATCGACTATCTAAACCAATCACCTACAGATAAACACTTTATTAGGCCATTCACACATCCGCACGGGCACACACCAATAAACAGAATCAGGTGAATATTCTCCCCTTAAATGCTGAATGACTCACAAGTAAAGTTTGATCGCGTAAATGCAATTCCTTATCACATTCCTGATTCACAAGCCGCGGTACAAGTTCAATAAAGCAAAGTGCGTGTTCAGTATAACTTTGTAATCTAAATAATCAATAAACAAATTAGAAAATGTGTAACAAAAACAAGAATGAGTTAAATTAACCACTTCTGCGTATAGATAATCGATATGAAGGTGGATTGGAGATATGATTCATCTGCTAAAGCAATCGGCTTACAAGCAACAATCGTTAACAAAGCAGGATTTAATGAATTCTTCAAATTTCAGAACTCTTCAGCTGAATACCCTACATACAGGGATATATACTATTGGAAATACATTGGGAGATATAAGACTAATAAGCAAATAAACTACATTGAATAAATCATGCAAAACGACAGGTGTGAATATTTTCCAGGTTATAATCAAATAAATAAAGGGAAGGGAGTATGAGAAATTAAAGTTAAGATAAAAGGTATTACGGTTCAATCACATCATTGAAACAACTAGTCATCAGAGAAAGGATTTAAATATATCAAGAAGTGTGAACTGAACAATGTTAAAAATAATAGTGATAATAATAATGTTACGAGTCAAGATAATGCTGATGATAAAAGATAGTTTTAAAGGAATCAAGAGGTAGAATAAAGTATTAATAATAATAACAGTTAATAGGTAAAAAACATTACTACTACCATTCATTAAATCTTACCTTATTAACCTTTGTCGCTTGTTTTAAATCTATACTGGGAAATGTTTCCAATCGACTTACAGTCAATTGCTGATGGGTTTGATTTACGCTCCACCTAGTTCAGCCCAGGCAACTGGCTAGCATCACCAATCCTTCCTATACGCTAAGTGTCACTGCTAATATGGTAAATGTAAAAGCTGTTCCGGACAACTAAGTTCAGGTTTCCTTCACAAAACCCTGTCAGCTGTAACTGTCGCAGAAAACTAAAGAGCTGTCTATACACATCAGTTCCGCAAATAAATTTCGCAACATAAAACTGTGCACAAGAGTGAGGCAATTCGAGTTGCATTCCGATGACCTTAACCATACAGTCTATCTTCGTACATGTTTCTACCGATAATAAGCCACGCTAACAGATCCCAATTAACAAAAGCTGAGAATGAATTTGTTTAAATTCAGTTAACCGGAAGTGAGTATTGTTTAGGTTAACTTCGATGTAACTCACTCCTCAGTGAGTGATAATGTTACTATTGAGATTTTGTCCGAACGTTAATCGTTTCAAACGTCAAACGTCTAATTCACCGGACGACTAAGCCACAAGAACCGCCTCTTCTGCAACAAGTATCAGTTATTATTTGTGTAAATTAATTTGCATTTCCAATTAATTGATTATACTGGAAAAGGTATGGTTTTCGTGGCCAAGTGGATAATGCTTTGCCGTTTGAAACGATAAGTGCCGGGTTACAGTCTCATTGAGAACACTATCACTCACTGGGAGCGCAGCTACATCCGGTAGAGGAGTCTCAAATAGGACGAGATGAACATGCTTGAACCCACTGCTATTTGGCGTCAACCAAAATGACCGGAGCAGATAATTCCCTCATATACCAAGGGACAGAAGCCACACTTATCGTGTGAAGATATGTGATACACCAGCCAGTGCGCAGACTGAAATAGATGAAGTGGGATTTGGAACCACGACCACCAATCTGCTGGAAACCGAATGTTTAAGGCAATCAGTTGGTTTTTGAAGTATCATTCTAAATGATAACAGTTACTGAGCAAAAGGCTTCACACTTATCTAATATGAAGACTCAGTGATGGCAAGTGACGAAAACCTACACCAATCTCGAAACACACAATTACCACCCTTATCAATACGCTTAAATTTAATCACACCACAGATATAATTATTACAAATATATAACAAGGACAGTGATGCCCAATTGGACTGGAATTGTGAAAGTCACATGATTTTTAAACAATGAGAACACTTAGACTTTGGTTGTACACTCAGAGCCTAGTCAGCAAGTCTGTGTGTGTATACTGTGATTTATGTGCATGTACGTGTAAACGATTCCATGCCTTCCAGAACCGAAAACATAAATCACGATTAGAATATTTTATTTACAGCATTTGACCGTGCTTTTTATTCTTGCTGTAGAAAACAAAGTATTCATATCGCATTATATTGATTAGTAAAATATTTCATATCGATCAATTTTAAAGCTCAAACAGACAAACAGAAACACAGTTTAAATGATATCGACTAAATATTGATTCATTTTGAAAGTGTTTAAAAACACACACATTTATGGTTGTTTTTCTTTTTAAAGAAAAAGGTACACGTGAATAAGTGTAAATTAACGATTTCACATAAAGCTGTACATTTAAATGAGGCGAAAAAGTGCATGATAAGGATTCATATTTTCTGTAGATTTCGTCACAAACCGACACAGTAGTGACGCAGATAAACTATAGCAACCTTGTAGATCAACTTTATACTAACCCTGAGGAACTAATCAGAACTAAGGAGTAATAGAATTAGCCAAATTGTTAAAAGGATGACTTTAGATCATGGTGTTCTCTGATCCGCTTATATTTCTGATTCTGTTCTCCAATTTACCCCAAAATCCAATTCCTGCAGTAGACTATTCATTCCTTGCAAGCTTCCAGGGAATATACATATTCTAGTAACTCTTGTCAATCCGTTATTCACACTCGACTCTCCTGGAACTCGCTGAGCAAATCTAGAACAGAATACATGAATCTGATTTGATTAAACAAGTGAACCTAATTTGTTACCGAAGGTTATGTATTCTCATGGCTGCTACAGTTTAACTTAGCTACGACACCATAGTTTGAAAATCAATGAAAACCAGGAATAATGAACAGCTCCTTCATCTTGGTTTGGGTCTCTTCGGTAGTCGATAGGTACCTTTAGACTACGAGGTGGACATGATAACATCATCCAGTCAGTCACACTGGATTACAATCCAGTGGCTTGCGAATCCCAACTTTGCGCGATATAGCCTACTGATTTTCTCATTGGCTCAACAAAAAACTTGGTAGAATTCAGAGCACAAGTTATTGAAAATGATTTTTTACAATCATTCCTTCCATTCATAGTGGAATATAGAGCTTCAAGCTCAGTAGCGACAGTTTGTGGGAGAGCATCGGCTGTGAATCGAATGTGAACCTCTAGTATAGTTGGAGAGTGTTCTGCCACTGAACCAGTGCTTCACATAAATGGTTAGTATTTGTTTATACTGAATGCCACTAGTTCAATTAGTGATTTGGAGACCATTAAGCGTAACTATTTGATGCAGAAGTGAGTAACAGTCTATTGTCCAAAGTTCGTGGTTATTATCACATACAGGCTGGCGAAAAGGCAAATGTATTGTATAAAGGTTAACTGTACTCGTTGACAATCGGCAATCAAATTCCACAGATGACTTATGCAGTCATTACTTCATCTATTGCCCGGTATTTATCTTAACAGCGCTGAAGTTGCAACCGTGAAAACGGATGACTTAGACCATGCCACAGAACATCAAAATATATCACCTGGACACTTTTACACAGAAGAAAGTCTAATATCTCGCTTCTGTAGGAAGCTTGCGGTTTTGACAATGACGTACAGACGATATATATAAACTCAAAACTCACTGATGGTCTAAGGTAGTGAACATCAACGTAGAAAATAATCACAAAACAAAAGAGGTAACAATAGAAAAACGAAATCACCAAAAGTGAATAGAGAAGCATGAGATGAGGATAAGTTGTCTGTTTGGATTCAACATAGAACTTGGCACCGAAGTGCAACAGTTCGAGTTGCCACGTTCCAAATAGTACAGAGAGGTAGATAAGAAAATGAGTGAAGAGAATCAATAGAGTTTGACATATATAGGAGTGAAACAGAATGGGTAATGGTAGAAAGCAATATGAAAGATTACAGAGACTGAATACATCTATCATTGACAACGAGTTTGAGCCATGTCACCTATTGTCTCCAGCCATTGATTCCTAGAGTCCCGAGGGCCCCAACCCGGAAGTCTGCATCTCCCTACCTGACTCAGTTTAACTGTCAAAGATTTCATGGATTGATGAGGCCATGTTTTTGTTTGACTACCACTTACTCGTTTCCAACCTGCACCTAGATCAGCTAATAATGGCCGTCGGGGGAGGCGATGGTTAGGCATGCGCAGCACGTCACCTAGCCATCTCAATCTATGTAACTTTATAACATCGTCGATTGATTTTCCCTCTTTGCCCAACACTCTACGCCTAACGTCAACATTACTTACCTTATTAAACCACCTAACGTGAGAAAGAGATCGCAGACATCTATGATCAAAAACAGCCAACCTTTTCATGTCTTCAATTCGTATTGACCATGTTTCAGAGCCATAGAGAAGGACGGAGCAAACTGCTGAGCAGTACACACGTCCCTTGGTTGGTAGCCGGATGTCACGCCTACGCCAGAGATGGTGTAAGTCAGCGGAAGCAGCTCGAGCTTTTTGGATCCGTGCTGAGATTTCGTCGCCAATCAGTCCATTGGTGCTGATACAACTTCCCAAAGAGGATAAGTTGAAACAAAAAGACATATTCATGTCACTCAGATCGATTCTGAGCTGTAGTACACTGTACTTACAGTATATATATATATATATATATATATATATATATATATATATATATATATATATATATATATACTGTAACAACTAAATGTACACAAAAAAGAACCTGACAGAGAAAAGCTTACACAGAATGTGGGATATTTTGTCGTTGACCAATTTCACTGACAAAATATGCATTTATTGCTATTATTAGATCTAACAGGATCTGTTCATACCACATTTTCTGAAGGAAAAAAGAAAAAAGGAAACGTAGAACAGTTTAATCAATACAATATGAGAATCATTCACTAACTGTTGAGAAGTCTCTTCAGTGTTGACCAGTTAAGTTTGTAGTTTGTGTACACCAAATCATCCAACCAACCCTGAAATGTGGTTGTTATTTCGTAATAACTGCAGACTTTTATAAAAGCCTGATAATTTCAGTAGTCAGCACCAGTCAGTGAAGCCTTGAAAGCAGTGGTGAAAACATATGTCATGTTAATCAGTTCAGTTTATTTTCAGCTCATGTAATAATGTGACAGCAAGCCAAGCGAAAGTTGCTATTTGAAATAACAATAATCAGTAGTATTTGTTCTCTACTTCTTTTTTACAAGTGAGACAACTTCAGTTGAAGCGCTCCTACAAAAATGATGACTTGTACCTCAGATGGATGCTTTTTGATGTGGGTGTATTTACTGCCCCAGGCGGTATAGTTGCGAGGCTTCGACTGTCCTCCAGGATAACATCTTCAGTGCCAACTTCAGTGTGAGGTCATTTAGCATCGATCCTGGCTGTGTTTGTTTGTCCTTAGTACTGATATCGATCATCTCATTTACCTGGATTTTGACCATTTTTATCATATGATTCGTTCTGTATTGGCTGGGAAATCTGATCTAGATGAGTATGTCTAATTAGGGAAGATGAACCTGAGTATCAGGCTTCTAAGAATTCTCTGGCTTTCTTAGTATATCTCCTGCTTTAAACTTTTACATTTTCCTAATCAAATCGGTATCCATAGTTGTCAACATGTATTGATTTGAAGGAATGTATTTCGTGTATTTTTGACGGTTAGCTTATGATCTTCGATTCGAAGTCGGAGAGGATGTCGACTTTAACCAATATGGTGATGTGATTTATTATGTAGATTATGCTAATCTTATCTCCTCTTGTCATTGGGTCTTTTGGTCTGCCTGGTTCTACATTGACTTACTAGCCACCATTCAATCAAATTCCTGATTTGTAATTTACACAGTTCGAAGTGAAATTTCACCACAGTTCCCCCTTGGAAACCGAAATTATTCAGATCATAATATGTGCCACCTACTTGATAGAATAATTAGCAATCAAGAAGACAAGTATAAATGCGTCACCCTATATACTACTGATTAGTTGATGTAAGTAGTTGGGTACCAAACAAGCTAACAAGTATTACGTGCTAGTCAAAAAGAAGTGATCTAACTACCGGATGGCTATTTCACCCGTTTGGTATCATCAGCCGTGCACCCGGTTCATCCCGGAGTGATACCCAACTACTTATATCAATCAACTAATAGTGTAGAACACCATATAGTCACCACTCGATTGGAAGTAGTGATAAAAAATGTTGAATAAATTGTGCGTTGAAACTAGACAAACTGAAGCCAGAATAATACATAGCCGCTAACACCATATGTTTCTTTTTCTTGGGAACCAATAGAACAGAACTGTGGCGTAAAACTTCGAGTTTTTCTTTGACATACAGCTGCAGTCATCAAAATCCATCTGAAGGAACCAGGCCTGTGTGTTCAGAAGAAATTTGCAGTCACAGTATATATATATATATATATATATATATATATATATTACAGTAGAGCCAGAGATAATCCAATTGAAAAGTAAATATTTTTTTTCGTTTAATCCTCTTAATGCCAAAACGGCAATATTTTCCATATTGAAATCGGATTTTTTTTCATTCATTTGCCTTCCAAGCGGAACGTACCCCTTCAAATCATAAAGCTTCCGTAGACATGCTGTTTTTTTACAGGACGGTATTACTAGGCTCACTCCCGGCCTTTACTCCGCTCGACACTAACAAACTGCTGGCTAGAAAAGCGGACGAATTTTAAGGTTGTGTCGGCTGGGAGCCGAACCCAGACGTTTCAAGTGGTTCGTGAGTTTTCTAACATTAAAAAATAGATATTTCATCACACGATTTATTTGAGGTGAGAATGTGCTTTTTTCCAGTGAACGCTTTATAGTGACACACACAAGGGTATACAAAAAGAAAAAGACTGGGAGTGATAGATGAAAAGAGAAGCATAGTTTTATTTTAATGCATTAACAAGGCTGACTCACTTGATGCAATTGTGTGCAATTAAGGAGGGATTGCATTAATTTTATCAACTGTACAGGTAATTCTGTTACCTCACAAAACTGTACAATAATTGTGACATCACTGAAATGAAAGTATAAGAAGAATAAGACAAAACAAAAACTCGGATACTTTTAAAACAAATATTATTCTTTTTTGTAACAGTGGTGTACAGATTTTAGAAAAGTGAAATATCAAAGATGCCAGAGAATTCCCAGATCAGTATGTACTCAATAAACACGTCCACACAGATCAAATGTAACAACCAATAAGTGATGCGTCACATGACAATGAAATGACTGATACTAATATATTGATAATATATACGGAAAATTCCAGGAAACTCACTTCACACTGAATTAAACTCTGAATATGTTGTCTAGGAAGACAATGGAAGCTCCCCAATTAAATTACTTAGCTCAGAGAATACAACCGCATCGAAAAAATGTCAATGTTCTTAAAAAGCTACAACAGCCACTAGTTCACTGGATACATGATGCTGACAACCAAAATGTAAATATTTTCCCTGTCTATTCAAAGTCTCAGGGTTAAATTTTGTCACAAACAAGTATAAGTTGAAGATTCATGCAATACGGGATAGGTGTTTCATCCTAGTATGGGACTCTTCAATGGTACTTCCCCAATGACTCACCTAGGAATCAAACTCAGAACTTCCAGGTTACCTTTCAGCAACAATCGGTTCGAATTCAATGACTGGTGCACTCTAACTTCTGCTGATTCGTGATATTCAAAGTCTATTATACAAAATGAGTCCTTTACCACATCAAAGCCTGGAAAACTTGTTAGCGGTATTCCTCTAACTTTACAACCGGACAAGGACAAACTACTTAACTAATTTCACCTCTTTTATATGCATCTGCCAGTCTGACCGCTCCACAGGAGCCAGCTACATCAGGCGTACAATTAGGTATGTTCCCCATCGGATTTCCGAACACCATTCTGCATGATTAAGCAAAGGACAAATAAGACCTATCCATAGCTCTGCTTTACCTCAGCTTGTAAGCATTGAACACAAAGGTGAGGTTATCAACGCGTTTAAAATTACCTATCATATTCCAATTCCGCCTCACGAATTCTTTTTTTACATACATTTGAAGCCATCGGAGTTTATATGAAGGAGCCAAACTTATGTGTTCAGAAGAAATTCGTTCAGCTGATTTTCTTATCTTGTCTATCATTGCTTTATTGTGAAAATCTGACAAGTTCCGCTGTCCTTTTACAAATTATTATTGTTTTAAATATGTTTAATGCGTTCTATTCCTGATGGGATAGTTGGTGCGTAGTGAAGAAGAGTCTCAGATTAAATAGCTGTCCAGTGTCTCCTGATTTTCAATGGTTCTGCAGCTGAAGTCAGTTCATTATTAAACTTAATTCTCTTTAACTGTAGAATAAATTTTATCTGATATCTAGATTTAGTACTGCATTTCTGGCATACTATCAGTAACACATGGTTTCCAACTGTAATTCTATTGATTTTAAAAACTCGATATTATTTTTAAAAAAGTCACTATTTACAATATCAATTCCTCTTCATATATAAGGTGTGTATGACTGTAGAACCTAATGGAGAAGTTATCGAAAATAGTATTCTTTGCTCCATCTTTTTGCCTTACAAAACCGACATGACGGGTCCACGAGTAAACGGAGAAGGGTGTACTAGTTTAGGGACAATTCATATCTTTTCTTCTCTGTAATAATCTTAATTAAACAGAAACTTAAATATTCTCCTTTTTCAAGTTTGACCACTGATTGATATCAATTAGAGAACCATTGGAAACCAGGAAGTACTGTACAACTGTTTCGTCCTAGTTTAGAACTCATCACCAGTACGCACCCACTGGGTTTCGAACAGGACTTTCTGGTTACAAGGCAGGCTCAAAGACTATTCAACCTCTGGGACCCGATTCAATGGTCCACGAATTCTAACTTCTACCAAATCGTGATTTTTGCGTGACCACCAAGCAATGTCACTGACGGGAACTCCATCCTCACTCCTGACCGGATGGACCTCACTGGTCACGACTCACTAGAACCACAGGCAACTTCATCCTGCAGTCAGTCACCAGCAAGCATCAGATTAATTTTCAAAAGTTGGTTTGTGGGGATTTGGTTCTCTAACTGATACCATTCCGTGGTCAAACTTAAAAAACAAGTCGAATCCCTACAAAAAAAGCCTTTAAGACTAAATATTCCCGAAAATTTCAAAAGTTCACAATATTTTCACATTATGAACAAATGAACGTACATAAGATGAAGCATCGGTGAGGCTAAAAACTGGTATATGTATCGCAAACTACTTAATCACATAAAAATTCTCAGTCAACTGATATATTTCCATTTTCATTCATTCTCATTTGCCTAATGTAGAAGAACCACTTATAATTTTAGATTAGACGGAATGAATTCACTTAAAAACTAGCATTAGTTTGTTTTAACTGCTTTTAAATACGTTGTATAGATTGATTTCTATTGATTTTATTGTTGAAAACACAAAATCAATGGAAAACATTTATTATTAAGGCATAATGATACAATACACTGTCTCATTACGCACACCTATACGAATACATGCACGCAACTTGGTTTATGTGTACGCGTCTACATAAGTGACTAAACAGATGCAGATGTGTGTGAATACAAATTGTCTCAGTTTAGAAATGCACTACACAAAATAGTTCCTTTTACGTAAACATAAAAGTAAACTGAACTGGTCTACAAGCATTGATTTGAAGAGATTTCTTGAGTTTCAGGTTAAATCGTAACTGTTTCATCCCAACCTGGGATGCTCCAAAAGTATGCACTCAACGTGTCAACGCGGGATCGACAATAGGATCTCCAGTTTACGAGGCGGGTACGTAAAATGGCAGTGTAGAATTCATGGAGGCGTCGTCAGATTCCGTTCCATTAGCTGAATGGTCAACGAGCTCCGCTTGTAACCTAAGGGTCCTGGGTTCGATTACTCGTGATGTCAAACAAGAACAAAACAACCGTCCAGTACTCCCTGGTTTTCAGCTGTTCTCTAATTGAAGTCAGAATGTAATCAAACTTGAAACTATTCAAATCCATACAAACCAACACTTGGAATTAAAAAAGACCAATGGAATCAGTAAAGTAAATTCTATAGCGAGGAATGGCAATTTAGATTGTCAAGGTACAAGAAACATTTTTTAAAATGTACACAAACACACAAATCCTTATTTTCACGGTGGTGAAATGTCCAGCCTTCCTTTAGCCGATTTACAAACTGGGGATATCTTTAAAAATTCAACAATGAGCAAATGCATTACTCTGCAGACACTTGCATTTCCATGCACAATTTGCGATGAGCCAGACACACGTACTATTGGAGAGCTAGTGATGCTATCTAGGCTGTCTAAACCCTGGTAGAAGATGGAGAGATGTTCGAAACAGTGACACTGACTGGAAGTCGAGCGCCTAAATCGATGAATCACAGCCCCACAATGAACACAGGTTAAAGAAGATTAACTAGTATGGATTATTTTCTGTAAGCTCCAGCAAACGATAAAAAGGATTACGAATAGGAAAAAATCTGAAATATTGCCTTTTGTGTGACACACCGATGAATATATTTCTGAATTTTATAAAGAATATGATGTTGGGAAATCGACAGCTTGTTGCAATCAGTGTGATATTAGAGAGGCACAAGTTCTCACTACATTGTCAACAAAGCCGTACAACGTTACTACATCACGCTTGAATTCATACGGCTGTAGTGTAAATGATCAGCATTTCTCTTATTAATTTCAACATTATTACTTCTGTTATATTTGCTTTCGTCATAGTAGTAATGTGAAGCTCGACAATTCAGACTTATGTATAATCACATCGCATGATACTGATACCCGCCTGACTATCAAACAAACAGCCACACGCACACACCAGTCTTTACACCACGTGATCTAAATGTTTTATTTTCATCGAAACAAAAGAGTAACATCTAAATAAATAAATAGTGAGAAAATGAACGGGGTTTAAAAGAAAGCTTACCATTTAACTGTGATTAAATTTGTGACTAAACGTAGTAATGTCCTTAAATAGGCGGCCGCTTCAAGTCCAAATTCTACATCACCTGATAACTCTTTAGTTTGATTAGTTCCTGCAGAAACTGGGCGATTATGAACTATAGATGAAGAACGTTCACTTAGAGCTGATGCCCATGGATGTATAGACTTCCAAGCAGCTTTATCGGTAATGACAGAAGCTGAAGCCAATCTTAATGACAATCGTTGACCGAATTCACTATCACAGAGTAAACTGAGTGCTGTTCTGCGTTTAGGTTGTCTATTAATTTCTGAAGAGTGTCGAGTACTTTCTGGTTCACATCCAGGTGGATGAGGAAATTCAATGTCTGTTGCATCAGCTAAACGTTCCCAGGCCTCTGCACTAGCTCGTAACCACCAACCGGTATATTCCATTGCATGATGTGTCCTAGACGATGTTTTGTCGAGTGCATCAAGTGAACTTTGTTTACGAATACCTGAGCGATTGTATTTTACAATACCTTTCTCATCAACACCATCAATAATTGTGCTATTCAACTGAAAAAAAATATACGATCAAAAATAAGTTAGCATGACGATGAAAAATATGTTAGGCTGAAACTAATTCAAGATGTTTGAAAAAATATGATGAATCCACATATACACACTCAATTTTTTCTCCCCTATATCTTATATGACTTAAAATAAAGATTAGTATCAAAACAAGGCCAGGATCAGGAAAACAAGACGCGCAAAAGTTCATTTCTCTGCAATTATTGTGTCGAGATCAACAGAATTCAATCAGCACAACTAACAAGATACGAATTTTCAACACATGTCAAGTCAGCCAGTGCTTCTATATAGTTCATCGACTTTGCACGCACGTCTCCCTAAGCATTTTCAACAATCTGCTGCAGACGTTTACCAATGCCTGTCTATTTTTTATTACAGCTTGATTCCACACCGTATTTTTGGTACAGGTACGGAATTTTTAGCATGTGATATCGGTAGCCCAAATTTTGCATGCCGACCATTGATATCAGGTGTGGTTCGGCAGGGGATCAAACTCCGGACCATGCGTATGGCCGGCGAGAGTCTTAACCGCTGTGCCACCGACGCACATAGTTCGCTTGACACTGAAGATCAGATGGCTGGCCATAAAAGATAAGGAACAAAGAACTTTGGCAGTAAACCAGAAAACAACCTATTTCCTACTCAACAAATAAGCTAAAGCAGATGAAAACGGATTAGACAAGCAGTGAGAAGATACTCAAAGTGACAACAACAACGCTAAATCCTAGAGTAGAATGCAGAAGAGAAGAAACAAGAAAAAGGTTAGTGGGTAGTTGTGGAGCCAGTTGGGAATGAGAGCGGGAAACCGAGCGGAATGGCGGTGTGGTGGTCAGGCCTAGTGTTCGACTCAGAATACAAGGAACGAATAATAGTGGTAATCAAAAAAGAGTGCTCAGAGTGTTTAGATATTATTGATGCTAAAGTTTCAGCTGTCAGTCAGCCACTGTAAGCGAGTGTATCAGAGAGCTATTAGAACCCAGATAGTATCTTCTTCAGCATTGTCAGAATTTCATCGAAATCTCCGTTAAGTTACTTCCTTGTCAGTCGATTGGTAGTTTGTTTACTAAACCGATGTGGAAATATCATATAATGGTCAGTAAATATTACTGTTTAAAACTGTGAAACTTTACCAAAATAAATTTTACCCATAATGATCCTTTTAAAATCTAATTGTTTCAGTAATTCATTCAGTCTCTTTCCTATTATAATCTTTATTCGCTTAAATGAAATACAAAAAAGTGCCTCAATCTTCCTAATCCATGGCTTTTATTTTGGGTGAAAGTTTTCAGCTACATAACGACTGAGAAAAAGGAGGAAATATTAAGTTCTTGTTGTATCAATAAATTGAATTCATAACTGCATGATGCTATATATCACTTATTGATTGATATAAGTAGTTGCATGCTAGTTACAGCAGCCAGCTAGCCAGATCGGAGGGATCTAAACACCGGATAGTTGTCTCACTCACTTGAGGTTCAACTTAGCAGCAGTGTACCCAGTTTGACTCGGCTCGGAGATCCAAACTGCGGATAGCAAATACTACCGGTTGGTGTGAGTGGTGTACGACTACTCCTACCAACCATTCAGTAGCATACAGAGTCAAGTATTTATGCTTGATTTCTTGCCTGTCACTCATGATATCAAGCAGATCACACATTTTATGCTCTGAATAATTTCGGTTTTCAAGGGGAGCTGTGGTAAAATTCTACTTCCTGAAACATTGAATATTGCAAAAAAGTGTAAAGCAAGCCAATAGTTCAGAAATCTAGTAGACGTCATCTATAATATTCGAAATTTCCCAACCAATCAACCAGCATTAATTGAGAAATGTGACGGTGGTTATGTAACGATTTACAATATCTAGCAATTGCCTTAACTAAATTAGACAAATCCATCTTGAGCTTTTAGGTGATCATGCTTGAATTTTGAGTATCTCAGCTAATCAAACAAATGTGTGTGAGCCTGTTGTATCACTGGTTTGAAATAAGATTTCTTTGAAATTGTGGGTTGACTGTTAACTTACAGAGTCCTATTCACATGCACAAATAAGTAAGAAGTTGAGTAGTAGTTCACTAACCTAGGCAATTGACTTCCAACCATCAGGCTACGGGTTCGAATTCCTCCCGACCACATGAGGTTAGGACAATAATACAAAAGATGTGGCTCATTGTCCACTGCTCTCCGAAGATGCAAGTGGTCACTGATTAGCGTTCACTAATCAGAATAAGTAATAAACACTTGTTAGTAGTAAAGAAAATTAGTTTATACTATATACAAGTAAAGTAAATATCGACAGTTAAAGATACAACTTAAATAAATACCGATGAACGTGATTAAGGAAGAAAAAGAGAATTTAACTTTGTCGATAGCTGAGGAAACTATAGGGATTTAGTTAGGAAGAAGGGGAGGAATTAAATAAGCACTTACCAAACGTACATCACTTTCTACAGAATACTGCCTACTATCTGTTTCACTGACTTCTCGATACTTTTCCTGACAACGTTCATGTACTGCATTTTCACGATCATAGTCAGTGGATATTCGATTCTCCCTTGGAGTTGGAGGTTCTACTGAAGTATCTTCAATTTGAGACCAGTCTGGAATTCTCTGAATATTTACCAAAAAAATTAAAAGCACGTGAATTGACTGCTCATTTTTATGTATACTCCACAAGGCTTTCCGCTGTTTGAAGACAACATGTAAAGCGTAACTCTCATGTATTATCCTGCGATTACTATTCAATGAAGACGTTATGGTGTTTTGCTTTCGATGAATTTTTTTTTCAATTAATATGCATAATGAAATGACTTTTCATGTCCTGATCACAGGCTCAAGTCCCGCTACTCCTAATTCAACCTGGGCAACTGAGTATCATTAACGGCCCTAACATGATAAGTTAAAGATGCTAGCCTGGTACGTGAAACATCAGTTCCGAGTAGTTGAATCGAAGCTACAGTTCCAGTGATAGGGTGATAAGCGATAAAATCCATCTAGCGTTACATCGCTTCACTTGGTCAGTGCTATTACTTTGTGCTTAATTTGATATTTTAAGACTAATCACTATTGCCTGTGTAGATTAAGGGGCTTGGAATATTCGAAAGTATGCAACATACTCAGCAAAAAACATACACTGAAAACTAAATTTGACGAAGTTAAAGATTAACAAACCAAACAAAAGAAAAAAAGAACGAACGCACCAACCACCATGAAACGAGCGACTGTGTTAAACAGGCGAATCTGACTTAGAAAAGAGGACTGCACTTACGCGTAATAATGACTTTTTCAGGATTAAGGGAGTTGTTTTTATCAGGAAAGTGTCTTCAACTAAACATAAATCAATCATTCTTAACTGTAACTTTAAGTTACCTGTAATCAGTCCGTTATGAGGAGATGTGACTCACTGTTCTAAGCATTCAACTTACAATTGATGGGTCTCGATTTCGGTATCCACACCCATTTACTTCAATCTAGGCAAATGGGTAGTATAATCAACCCCCAAGCAACAAGTGTAGCTCATAGCCTAGTATAGAGGTATACTTGTTCCGAGTGACCAGTTCCTAGCTTACTCGACCATTTTAGAAGTTAAACGCTTTCACGATGCACCACATCCAGCTGAAAGAATGCAACACAAAACATTTTTTCTCCCGAAGTGAAAATCTTAATGGATGCAAGTTCAGGAACTATCAGAGTACAGTTGTCAGTATTAAAAGTGCATAGTTACAATAAACTTTTGTTAGCATGTTCTGATTATCTTACAAAACCAACTAGAAAATTAAATCTGAATTCCTTTCATTGTTAATTTGACGGTGAGATTATAAGTTCTCAAACATGGTTAGCAGGCTGAGATATCAAAATGGGCAGGGAACGGGGTTAACATACCTTTTCTGAATTTAAGGCATCACAGCTTTGTGGTCGCTTATTTGATGCATTTTGTGCAGTTTGTTCGTTTTCTTCCTTTATATGAGCAAAATAAAAGAACAGTAGATTATGTAGTGCCCATAGTGAATATATAATTGTGTTAATTAGGATACTCATAGACTATATGTTACCCACTCAAAAGACTTTTGAAGTCAGTCTTGGAATCTTTATTCAAGAAATATGGTGACTTTGTCTCTATATTTAGTGGTTAAGTGGCTCGTAATTCCATGAAGTTAGACTTAAATTCTGATAATAGGAAATCTCATTACAACAGTATCTAATGGCCTTCTCTGTCTCGATATATATATATATATTTTAAACACTATGAAGTTTTTGTTTTGTGAAATAAATAACTTGGTCGAAAAGCAAACTTCCGAATGTGTTTCTAAAATCTTCAGGCTTAATCTATTTCAATTTTGCCGTGCCATATTTAGAAAACAAATTTCATTTACACCCTATAACTTACTAAGGAACTGTTTCTATCTGTCAGTAAACTAAACAGGTACTGAAAGCTGCTAAATTTGTTGTACAAACGCTCTTAAACCGCTTTTAGTTGAACTTATTAGACCTTGCGGTTTTTATTTGTACTTTTAAAACTACGAAACACCTTATATAATATTCACATATTTTCCCTAAAGTTGTGTCATACATGAAATGGGGTTTTGTCATGAACTGCTATCAGTTAAAGTATGACTGAAAGCACTCAGCAGCTATTTCGTTGTAATTTGGGACTCTTAAGTAGCGGGTATCCATAGCTCCTACTAAGGATCAGACCCAAGATCTTAAAATTACGGAGCAAGCACGTTCCAATTCGATAGATGGGTCAGAATCCTGTGGCCTATGAATTCTATCTCCGGTGAATTCGTAATATATTACCACCAATGTCTGTCTGTCTGTCTGTTTTCGACACAGAACTTTGCACAAATGTGCGGAAGTTCAAGTCGCCACACTCCATGTAGCACACAAAGCAAGAGAAGAAAGTACAAGAAAAGCATAATAGAAACAGTGAGCAGAGGTGTGAGACAAAGGAGTAATAAAGAAAAACAAAACAGTTTCATTGAAGATCATAAGTCACAGGGAGTGGATGCATCTGCGCTGAAGTCACCTAGGGTTAAGTCCATTAACACATCTATGATGAAGTTGAATAGAAAAGGAGATAATGGGCATCCTTGACGGACACCACTGGTCGTCATCAGTTCAGATGACAGCTCGCCGTAAGCCCTCACCTGGCTGTATGAGTACGAGTAGAGTGCCTTAATCAGTGCAATATATTTTCTTGGAATTCCCTTTACAGCCAAGCATCTCCAGAGAACTTCCCGATCGACAGAGTCGAATGCTGCCTTTAGGTCAAGAAATATAATGACTGTTGGACGCCGGTAGGAATGCCTATGTTCTAGAATCTGTCGGAGGGTGAAGATATGATCAATACACCCTCTTCCTGGTCTAAAGCCTGTCTGGCTCTCTCGTGTTTGTGTCTCCGGAGCACCACTTAGTCTACGCATGATTATTGAGCCTAAGACTTAGGATACTATATTAGTCAAGCTAATCCCTCTGTGATTATCACAGGAAGACTTGTCTCCCTTCTTGTATATGGGGATAATCAGTGACTTACACCAACCCGATGGGACTTCTTCTCCAAGTCAAACAGTGTCTCTCCTTGTGTTTAAAGTTAGTGCTTACAAGAAACAAATGATTATCAGAGCAGAACTGTAGGAGACGGTCACCGTTGTCGGTTCGCTGGCACGGAGCTCCATAGGTGCCACCGACATCCTTCTCAAATTGACACAATTTCCCTACTTGAGCGTTAAAGTCACCAGCTAGAACGACTATGTCTGAGCGTTTAGCCTTTCGCACCAAACTAGACAGCTTTTGGTAGAACTCATCCTTCGTTTCGTCTGAACTGCAGTCAGTGGGGGCGTAGGCGGAGATTACGAAAAGGCATCGGCGAGTAGTGCAGTCCTTCCTCCTTCTTACTGATCCGTTCAGGCGGACAGCACACATTCGGCTATCTACCGGGATCCAGTCAAGCAATGTCTTTTCTGCCCTAGTACTCAAAGCTATCCCTACGCCAGCTAATCCTCGTGAACTAGCTGTGGCATCTCCTGACACCCTCAAGGTGAATTTTGCAGATTCAACCTGTTGGCCAGGTGGGGCTAGGTGAATAACCACACTTGGGTCTTGTATGCGTGTTTCTGAAACACAGCATACATCAATGGCTCATGATGCCAGGGTCTTGGCTAGTGATGCTTGTTGTCCTATTTGGCAAAGTGTCCTAACATTAAGAGCTCCTATATGAAATTGGTGGCGCGGCTTTAAGAGGCTGTCGGTGGTGGTTTTTTGGCTTCCATCGTTTTTAGTGGATGCAGAGTGGAGAGGAAGTGGAGAGCTATCAAGTCGAGGAGTTGCATCAGTGGAAAGAAGGCAAGATGATAGAGATGAAGATGAAGACAAAGATGAGTGAGGAATAGAGAGGTTTCGTGTGCATTTCGGATTGTGAGGTCGATTGTTTCTTCCCGGCTGCCCACACCGTGGAAGTTGGTTGCGTGACCGCAGAGCCCAGGGGACAACTGCTTGAGGCCGGTCACACGCGGCCTGTTTTTGTTTGTTTTTTTTTGTTTGGTGTGTCTCAGTAGCAGATTTATCACTCCTGCCCTGTGACACGGCAGCAGGAAGCGCGGTCGTTGTTAATCCGGGCCACGGCCGATCCGGCATGAAATTTTGTGATTTTGTATTTATCATGATGTTGGATTGGGTAGCTGTTTTTTGTTTAACCGCTATCCAAACAACCTGCCTGGCATGGTAGTACCTCAAGAGACATAAGTCTCAGCCAGTATAGCTTGAATAGATCATTGCGGTGTTCAAGCCCGACCACCACGTCAAGGTAGCAGCTTTCGGTCGGGACCACCAATGTACAGTATCACATACACGTATCTGGCCCTGTACCCTGCTTGGTGAACTCCAACGGTCACATCTCATTAGAACTCTAAGAAGGCCGTGTCGCAGTCAGTCACTAGTAAACAGTGGATTAATTCCTCAGTATTGGAATTTGGAAATTTGACTGACTTCACAGTTGATTTTGCCACATTCATCGTGTTGACAGTTTATCTCTACCATATAAATCAGGTACAATATGGTGTCATGTTCAAATTTCATCAAGACAACCTATAAATGCCTTTAGGAATCTTCAATATACTTCCAATGATTGCAAAAGCTTTAAACCAGGGTTATAAAATCTACTCACTCCGTCATTATCTGCTGAATTCGGTCTTCTAAGTAATTCTTGTTGCTCCTCCATAGCCTTTGTGTGAGATTTAGGTCTGGTTATTTTACCTTTCTCTCCTAATTTTGACAATGGAGGCTTATCTGAGACATATTTGGAGTGCCTTTTGTCAGCAGCATTACTCCTCATATTTGATGCTGGTGAATCTCTAACAGCAGATTTCCCACGGCGATGGTCCATAGAGTCGTCCAGTTTATCTTCTTCTTTAACTTGTTTAAGTTTACTGAACTGGTCGCCACCAGCACGTCTGAGAACTCTAGATCCATTAGGTCTCAGCATTAGTAACCTTTGCCTTTCTTTTTCTGCCAGCTGACTTGGAGTCAATGGTTGTGTTAACGGACTAGAAAGTAAACGCACACCTGGTGAAACTGAAGAAGTGAGAAAAGACGGCAATAGTGTATTAGCAGGTTGGAGAACTTATGAGAACCACATTAAGTCTGAAGAACAAGGTGGGAGCTGTCTGTTAGTCCACAGGGCGAGAATATTAAGCAAATATCATGGAATCAAGAGTTAGTCCAAGATGCAGTCACTCAGACATTCTATTTCGATCATATTTTCAGAATACAGAATGAATGTAAGCAGTAACAACAACAGAAAAGAGCCTAAATGTGAAACAAACATCAGTGACATGAAAACAAGGGAGTGATTTCCTAAAAATACATCCTGCTTAAAAAGAAGGCATTTTAAGCTAATCACAAAGTTCCAAGATGCATCAGATATACAAAGAGAAGCATCCGTTACAGGTGAGATCTATTATTATCCCGATGGAAAATGAATGTTACAGTCACCAGAATACATTTACAAGCTGACTTGAGATTTACTTTTATTTGAAATATTATCTTCTTGATAAATGTAAGTTTTACTCAAGAATAAACCAGTTAATTGAGCTGAATTCAAATGAATTTCCAATAACATGTTGAAATTTTGTGGTCACAGCAATGATGGATCATATTTAAATTGCAAATAAATTTAAATCAGGATGATGGTGATACACTCGGTTTCATTAATCCCGTGTAAAATAACTATATTTTTGCGAATTACGTATGAAGTTGTCTCACAAACTTCGCTCCAAACGACATAGAATGCCACTTAAGATACTAAGCTTTATCAGGAACTGATGACGGAAATGTGTCCTTAAAAAATCAGTAAGATAAAAATGAGTTCCGTTTTTCGAGCGGTTATTACCAAAAGTTAAAATATAGTCAGCTCTTCTTGTTTCTTAAGTATGTACACCTTACATCACCCGACAGTTTTAGGCAACGCGAACCATAAAATATAATATTAAAGTCAAGTCGAGATACAAATATTTGTGAAATACATAATAAAAATAGTTTAAATTACGTTACTTTCAATTTTGTCGCAAACAAATGGATGATCCAAAAGGTCCGGCCACTGCAATCGTTGTCGTACGTCTTTTTGAAGTAGTCTCGCCAAAAAGTCTTTGAAAACTGATGACATATCCGGTGGCCACTGAATAGCAGTCTTTGTGATCATTTTGACAAGTTGAAATATACTGTTCGTATAAAATGGCGGAGTGCCAACGAACAATTCGTACAGTATACAGCCTAGCGCCCTATGAGCATACATATAATAAAATTTACAACCCACCAGAGGTCGGCAGTATGGTCATAGGGCTTTTCCTCAATGATTTCTGGTGCCATATACAAAGGAGTTCCCTAAAGGAAATGAGCGTCAATTTTAGTTTAAGCAAAAACCTTTATAGACGTAAGGACTAGTGTATTCCAACCCATAACTCTAGCGAATCCAAAGTCACAGAGTTTAACAACTCCATCTTGCCCCAAAAGAATGTTTTGTGGTTTCATATCTCTGTGCAAAATGCGGTTTGCATGAAGATAGTAAAGGGCTGACACCAACTGACAGGCCACAGACCTGACCTAAAACAGTAAGTTTCAAGCGAAAAGTTACAGTCTCTTCAGAGAGTCGTCCATCATCCTCTATTATTTGAAAAAGATCTCCTTCTGCATAATCAGTTATTGCAACAACCTATAGTGCTAATATTTCGAAAAATGCAAATTTATACAACCTCTCTTTCTGTTTCAAAAGAATCCTGCATTTCAATTATATTAGTGTGGTGCATTGACCTCATTATTTCAATTTCCAACTTCAGATTCTTAAGAGCATTTTCACTTTTACCAACTTTAGGTATAAATTTCATGGCTACAATCTAGAAACAAAAACAAGTTGGTTACATATTTCACCCACCTGTCCTGTTTCCTTCCTTCTACCACGAAAAACACGACCAAATGAGCCTTCTCCAATACATTCTAATACTGTATAGCACTCCAAACCCATCCCTTATCCGACAGCAGGAGGTTGCGCAGGTAAATAAATTTTCAAAACATTACTGAGGTCACATAGGTGGAAGTTACCTAACTAAACAATATGGATTTGTATGATCCGAAAAATCAGTCAGACATTCTGAAGCACTCATTTAGCCAGATAACATTATGTGAATTGAGACTTACCTGAATATATTCTCAAAATGGAGATTCCATTTCTAGAAATATGCTTGGGAAATTATCATACTGTACGGAGCGACTTTATTGCATATCCCCTCAGTGACGCTTGTTGCTATGTTGCTATTGGTTTCAAGTGGCCTTGGTTTTGGGGGAAGATTTAACTGATGTAATATTGTGATTTCGTAGACATAACTCAGGCTCATAGGTGAAAAAATTGTAACCCTGAAATAAGGACAAGTTGTTCAGAAGGTAAGGAGGACATTATTTTTCAGTTTATTTGTATATATACTATTGTGCTGAGTTCTTAGTGCAACTGTATGTAACTGCATTTACATAAAGTAAAACATTACGGATGCTCCTGTTTTTAAAATAAAAAACATGATTCTTTTCATTAAGTCTAGTAATGAAGAATGGAGTTTCTTCCACGTCAGTGGTATTTAATTGAAGAATTAATCTCTGTAGGCCCTTGAAGGAATAAATTCGGCACGGAGAACTCCTGTGGAAACCGAAAGCACTTTTAGTTTACTAAATCTTACTGACTCCCTGTATAAATTTGATCTGTCAAGTGTTTATGTAAAGTCTGCTGGTGTATTCAGTAAAGTAAAAGTTGTAGTGCATAATAATAATAATTGCTTTATTCCAAAAACAGTACTCATGATACAGCAAGGAATTTTCAGCATTCAGTACAATATTGCATCTAATTTACTCAAAAACGACAAAAAAAATTAAAAATTCACAATACATAATAGTAATAAAACGATTGTTGTAGCAGCTACGTAGCAAAATACTGTGTGCCATGCGGAGAAAAATATGTATAAAGTACAAAATTGTAGTAATAATAGTAATACCAACTAATATAAAATAGCAGAGTAACGATTTAAACGATAGAAAGTGTGACACCATAAAATACAGAAAGATGAACGATAAAGGGGTCGATTCACTGTGCTAATTACATAGTAACTTGTAAGTTTCACGTCTAACAGAGTCTTCATCACATAAAGTACTCGCTAAATAGGGTATTGTAGAATTTCTATACTTAGTAGTACGAGCATATATCTTTTTATATTGATTTCTCGTCCTACCTGATGAGATACAAGGGGACAGGTGTGAATAAAGGGGGTGCAGAGGGTCTGACATTATAGCCTTTGCCCATTTCGTACAGGAATTTATATACCTCTCGACTATAGTATTAGCGAGCTCATGCAGTGGCAGACCACAAGCTCTACTCACAGCATTTAATACTCTTCGTAATATGATATAATCTTTTTTGAGCAGCCCAGGAAAGATTAATGGAGAGCAGTAGAGTACAATAGGTAAAATGCAGGAGTTTAAAAATTGCAAAACTAAAGGTTGGTTGATACCTGATTGTCTTAACTTTTTAATGTAGAAGGTAAGACGAAACATTTTCTTAGAGATAGATAAGATATGGGATGACCATGAAAGGTCAGAGGAAAAAACTAGTCCAAGGTATTTAATGCTTGATTTGGTTTCAATCTCCGTGCCATCTATGCTACAGGGATCATGAGACTTAACTAGTTCAAGTAAGTCACGTCGATGCTTGAAAGTAAAGTCAAGCACCTGACATTTGGAAGGATTTAATATAAGACCATTTGACTTGGACCAGTTGTTGATGTCCAACAGAAAGCTATTAAGTTTGGAGCTGTCAGACTCGGAAGTGATAGGCAGTGATACAGTCAGATCATCTGCATATTTGACAAAGTTAGTTTCGTTTGAATGAGGTAGGTCATGTAGGAAGGAAGAAAAAAGAAAAGGAGAGAGTACAGCACCTTGTGGAACACCGGATTTTGTAAGCGAGGTAGAAGAAGATTTGCCGTTATATACAGTATACTGCATTCTATCAGAAAAATAGGAATGCAGTAAAGTAAAAGTTGTAGTGCATAACTCCTAGACTTGCTGTAGTCATTGGTATTCCCAGGATACTACTTACTCGTTTTATGCAGCCGAAATATTCAATTCTCACTTTATTGAGGAAATACTATAGTGCCTGCAAAAGTAGTGCATCAGTTTACGAGTTTCGTTAGGCCTGCAGAATGTTTTCTATTCACTGAATACTGTTTGCGAATTATCCGAGAAAACATATTTCCGAGTGGGATGTAATACAAGGCTGAATTCTTAAACTGTCATCCTTATGTCAGTTCAATTCAATCACACATATATTAATAGGATAGTCTGTAATTGACTTTAGAGACTTATCAGGGAATATTCTAATCAACTTACGGTTTGCTGATGATATTGTGCACCTAGACTATGAGAAGTAACCTCTGATGCTGGAAAATATGAAAATAATACCGGTGTTTGATTATAGGTGTCCGCGTTCTATCTCATGAGGAAAGCAGTATAATATGGCGAGTGCTGTTGAGGTTACGCATAAATGTTTAGGTGGGGAGGGTTAGTCTTGAAGGTAGGGAAGCTGAATAGGTTGAGATGGCTAGAACACGTGATGGCATACCAAGCCATCGTCTTTCTCCAGGGACAATGCTAGCCAGCACATGTTAAGGTTTAAAATGTGTTTGGGTCGGTCAAATGAAAAAGTGATATTGGTTCATAAAATTGTTGACAGTGAGCTGGAAGAAATACCGGAGATGTGACTGCAAATCTTTTGTACTGGTGCAGGTGCATTCACTCTGTGTAATCTCACGTATCTATTCAACTCATGTTTTTCCTTGTCACTATTTATTCTCCCTCACATTTTCGCTCGTTAAACTTCCATTTAGTTTTATGTCTCTACCTTCGTGTGCTACATGGAATGTGGTAAATTAAACAGGTGGACTTCTCTGCAAACTCATACTGAAAGCTAGTCAGAATGACACAGTCTGAGCATAACTAAATGCGAAATATTGATAAATGATCTCCAAAATTTCAACAAATGATAAGTGTAGTTCTTAATCTTGTTCTTTGCCAAATGAAAAATAGATACCTTTCAGTGCGTCGGTGGCATAGTGGTTAGGACTCTCGCCAACCATGCATATGGTCCGGGGTTCGAGCCCGCACCGATGCACACCTGATGTCTATGGTCGGCCTGCGAATTCGGGCTACAGATATCCATGCTGAAAATTCCATACTTGTACCGAAGATACAGTGTGGAATCAGGCTGTAAATCAAAAAAAATAATCTCTTCTTCCACCCGGGACTCGTCTCCTACTTTGCAACTGGATTTGTGCTTTGTTACTTTTGTGCTTAACTTTCGGTCATTCAGCATTTGCCGTTGTTGTTGACTCAGCGCCTAGATGACTTTAGTTGAATAAGGTTTCGATCGTGCAAACTTGGGTCCTGGGCAGTTGATTGGTTGCATTATCATTTCTCAAATGGAATGCAACATACTGTATATTAGGGTAAATATTCTGCCTGGCTTGCTGAAGCTGGTGTTCCCCAGGCTATTTTTATCACTCCTTTTCTTTTTTCTCTCTCGTTTACATGACTTTTCTCTTTCTGATGAGAGCAACTTCGTCAAATACGCTGGTGTCCTGACTGTTTCTTTTCCTGTCATGTTACAATGTGACTGCAGCAAACTTAACTGGTTCCTGTCTGTAGTCTAAGGTACGTGGTCTTGCGTTAAATCCCTCTAAATGTCAGGCAGTTAACTTTCCCCTCACTCATAAGCGTGAACTGCAAGAACTGTGTCGTTCACAAGATGTTTGTATCAAAGAGGGCACTGAAACAGAAACTAAGTCTAACAGAAAATACCTTGGAGTAAATCTATCCTCTGGTCTTTCTTGGTCATTCTATATCTTGTCGACTTCTAAGAAAACCTTCAGTCTAGCTTACCATGTTATGTATTCAAGACAGTCAGGAATCATTCAACCTCTCTTTTTACAATTTGTTAACAATTGATTTGGTCTTTACTGCTCCCCCTTATTCTTTCCTGAATTACTCAAAAACGACTATGTCGTATTGTGCAAGGTTTTAAGGTTGTCAGTAGGGCAAGTGGTGTACCATTTAGTCAACTCGTTAATGCATTAGTTACAAGACATCTAAACTCATGTGAGAAATGGTCTAAATCTATACTGTCTAACCCTCAACATCCCATCTATTCTCAGCTCTTCCCTTTAATTTCATCTGATGGAACAAGAAGTCGGAATAAAAGATTATGTGATCGTTTTTGGAATTAAGTAATACCAAAAACTGTTGTCGTTTTCATTGTCAGCAGTTCACAGCCTATTGAGTTTACGCAAATGGAATGCTCATTTCCCACTTTCCTGAGTAAACATCAGCTAAGATTCTAGGAATTTTTTCATTTCTTAACTAGAGAATTTTATAGGGCAATGTAGAAGTGAGTGCAGTGAGTTAATAATGTATTTTTACTCCATACATCTTGTATGAGCGAAATGCTTCTATTCAATTTTCGGCGAAGCTTCAATATCACCCTGCAGGGTTTTTTCAATGCACTCATAGGGAATAATACTTGGTACTGAGGAATCCAGCCAAAAGCATCTGTGACACAGTCGAATGACTTTTTCAACTAAAAGCCGCAATACTGATATTAAGTGTGATTTACCTGTAAACTGAGGGACTCTAGTGTAACACAGCACCATATCCCAGCAGGGTATTCTTTGTGTTTTACAGGTACAAGTAGAATTCATGGACTGAGCATTTGTTAAATATGGAGGCGACCCATTGAGTCACTTAGACGAAAGGCTGACGAAATGCGATACCTTACACACGCACTTTCAGATGTAGGCATGTGTCACTTCACATGAACTCTGGACCATATCGAGTAGGCATTCCTTTAAATTAATTATTAATTATTTAAATTAATTATTGTTCGTATATGTGATGACTTGGTGCGTTTCCTAGTTTGCCTATAATTACGGAATGTACATTATATTAGGGAACACAAATGGATTTTGTGAAAACCAGTGGTGTTCCTTCTCTAGTCTTAATTGATGTCACATTGATTGACACGATTAAAGGAATAGATTGTAACGTGGTGTTTTCTGTAGCTGCGAAACGTAATTACCTAGTTTCGAATTGACATCATGCGTCTAATCCTATTAACCTATGTATATAGTTCTACCTTCACTAAACCTAGAAGTCAGGAGAGGACTCTCTTTGACAGATCTAGTTTTACTTTGTGACTAATTGGTGAGTCACCTGGTGTTGTGGTAGTAAAAAACAACTCCAAACCTTAGTATTTTCTAGAAATGAACATATTTACTTACTTTGGCGACAATTTAATCTTAGGGATATTAACCTTTACTTAGTAATTTGGATCCGAAAGTAAACGCCAT